TTTGTTTGAGACAAGGTCTTACTCTGTTGCCCAGGCTGGAGTGCAGTGGCGTAAACAAAGCTCACTACAGCCTCAACCTCCTAGGCTCAAGTGATCCTCCTCAGCCTCTAGAGTAGCTGAGACTACAGATGTGTGCCACCATGTCTGGCTAATTTTGTTTATTTTTGGTTGAGATGGGGTCTGAGGCTATGTTGCCCAGGCTGGTCTCCAGCTCCTGAGCTCAGGCGATTTTCCCACCTCAGCCTCCCAAAGTGCTGAGATTGCAGCATGATAAATATTCATAAGGGTTTCACGGGTATTTAATCTAATCACATTAAATCCTCAGAACAACTCTGTCATGATTGGCCCCATTTTACAGGTGAGAAAACAGAGGAGCAGAAATGCTGAGTAACTTGCACGACGTTGCAGGTAAGAAGTGGCAGAGAATTGAGGCAAACAAGCCACTTCTTACTTCTGCCTCCCTGCCCCACAGGTCCTGTTGACCAACTTGACCAACTCTCTAAGAGAAACAAGACATTTGGTGGTTTATGTGAAATCTGTCTTGTAAAATGTTGGCATGGAATGAAAAAACATAGGCCGGACACGGTGGCTCACGCCTGTAATCCTAACACTTTGGGTGGCCGAGGCAGGCAGACCGCTATAGAGTAGGAGTTTGAGACCTGCCTGAACAACATAGTGAGACCCCCAACTCTACAAAAAATACAAAAATCGGCTGAGCGTGGTGGTGGCCACCTGTAGTCTCAGCTCCTCGGGAGGCTGAGGCAGGAGAATTGCTTGAGCCCAGGTGGTCGAGGTTGCGGTGAGCAGAGATTATGCCATTGCACTCCAGCCTGGGTGATGGAACAAGATTCTATCTCAAAAAAAAAAAAAAAAAAGAAAGAAAAGAAAAGAAAAAGAGAAAAAGAAAAAGAACAAAAAAGAAAAAATGTATACATATATTAACTCTTCATGGGCTGAGGTGTAGGTGTGTTTTATGTGTGGATGTATTTTTAGTGTTGGGTTAATCCTAGAAAGTCAACAAAAGTTTGGAACAGGAGCCAGGGTTCACCAGTTGAGCAGGGCATTGCCCAACCTCCCCGGAACATTTCACCTGGATCTCAGATACGACCTCAGAGTCAGCACCTGAAGCTTCCTGGACGCTGGGCCTGCTCCCCAGGCCTCTCCCCTCTTTGCCTACTCTTGCTCCCCTGAGTTCCTCCAACCTCAAACTGGTCAGCTCCAAGCTGCTGTCTCCAGAGCCCCACCTCCACGATCTCATGCCCAATGCCCATTCCCACCAGGACGTCCACCGGGCAGTTCACACTCAACAGCGCCCTCCCCAGGCTTTCCTGCCACAGTGAATGGCAGCTCTGGTGAGTTGCTCAGTTGCTGGAGGTGGAGAGAACAAATGAACCAAAACCCCCCCCCCTTTTTTTTTTTTTTGAGATGGAGGCTCGCTCTGTCACCCAGACTGGAGTGCAGTAGTGCGATCTCGGCTCACTGCAACCTCCATCTCCCAGGTTCCAGCAATTTTCCTGCCTCAGCCTCCCGAGTAGTTCAGATTGCAGGCACACACCACCATGCCCAGCTAATTTTTTGTGTATTTTTAGTAGAGACTGGGTCTCACTATGTTGGCCAGGCTGGTCTTGAACTCCCGACCTCGGGTGACCCACCCCCCTCGGCCTCCCAAAGTGCTGGGATTACAGGTGTGAGCCACCGTGACCAACTCTTCTCCTTCCTTTTTAATATAGGAGATTATTAATAGAGGAGATTATTAATATAAGAGTATATCCCAGGCTGCAGGTTCAGGACCTTCTTCCTTTTTAATATAGGACTGAGTTTATTTATTTATTTATTTTTATTTTTTGAGACAGAGTCTTGTTCTGTCACTCAGGCTGGAGCGCAGTGGCACCATGTCAGCTCGTTGCAACCTCTACCTCCCAGGTTTCAGTGATCCTCCTGCCGCAGCCTCCTGAGTGCTGGAATTACAAGTGCACGCCACAACGTCTGGCTAATTTTTGTATTTTTAGTAGAGATGGGGTTTCACCATGTTGGCCAAGCTGGTCTCAAACTCCTGACCTCAAGTGATCTGCCTGCCTTGGCCTCCCACAGCGCTGGGACTATAGGTGTGAGTCACTGCGCCCAACAAAGAATTTATTTAATACAGGAGCGTGTCCCAGGCAGCAGGCTGAGAACCTTCTTCCTTTTTAATATAGGATATGATTAATATAGGAGATTATTAATATAGGAGATTATTAATATAGGAGTGTGTGCTGGGCGGCAGGTTGACACATTCAACCTGCTGCCCTGGATACACTTCCAGGTTGTATTGAGGAGTGCTCCAGAGAGCAAAAGAAAAAAAAAAATGGCTCAGGCCAGGCACAGTGGCTCATGCCTGTAATCCCAGCACTTTGGGAGGCCGAGGTAGAAGGATGGCTTGAGGCCAGGAGTTCCAGACCAGCCTGGGCAACAGAGCAAGATCCCAACTCTATAATAATAATAAAAAAGACTCAACTTTTTAAAGAAAAAAGGACGAATCAAGAGAGGCGGTGATTACAAAAGTTGTTCATTGGGAATTGTCATTGGTTTACAGATATCACATTGATTAGTGACTGGCTATACATGGTTGAACTACAGAGTATGTGGCACTTTAGAGCTTCTTAGTATCAGGTAGTCTAGAGCCCGGAGAGCAAGTGGCCTCAAAAGGTAATTATTGGACAGGTGCAGTAGCTCATGCCTATAATCCCAGCTTGAGGCAAGGAGTTCGAGATCAGCCTGGGCAGCATAGCAAGACCCTGTCTCTACAAAAAAGTTAAAAATTAGTAAAATTGCCGGGCGTGGTGGCTCATGCCTGTAATCCCGGCACTTTGGGAGGCCGAGGCGGGCGGATCACCTGAGGTCGGGAATTCGAGACCAGCCTGATCAACATGGAGAAACCCTGTCTCTACTAAAAAAATGCAGAATTAGCCAGGCATGGTGGTGCATGCCTGTAATCCTAGCTACTTGGGAGGCTGAGGCAGGAGAATCGCTTGAGCTGAGGAAGCGGAGGTTGCTGTGAGCTGAGATCACGCCATTGCAATACAGCCTGGGCAACAAGAGTGAAACTCCGTCTCAAAAAAAAGAAAAAAAAAAATCAAAAAATTAGTAAAATTAGTCAATCCTAGTGGTGCACCCTGTGGTCCCAACTACTCAGGAGGCTGATACAAGAGGATCACTTGAGCCCAGGGCTTGGAGGCTGCTGTAAGCTATGACGGTACTCCAGCCAGGGTAACAGAGTGAGTCCCTGTCTCTAAAAAGTAATTAAAATAAATTTTTATAAAGTCCCTCTGAGCCAGGTGCAGTGGCTCACACCTGTAATCCCAGGAGTTTGGGAGGCTGAGGCGGGAGGATCACTTGAACCCAAGAGTTTGAGACCAGCCTGGACAACATAGTGAAACTCCACCTCTATTAAAAAATAAAAAGGCCAAGCGCAGTGGCTCATGCCTGTAATCCCAGCACTTTGGGAGGCTGAGGTGGGTGGATCACAAGGTCAGGAGTTCAAGACCAGCCCGGCCAACATGGTGAAACCCTGTCTCTACTAAAAATACCAAAAAATTAGCTGGGCGTGGTGGTGGGTGCTTGTAATCCCAGCCACTTGGGAGGCTGAGGCAGAGAACTGCTTAAACCTGGGAGGCAGAGGTTGCAGTGAGCCGAGACTGCACTACTGCACTCCAGCCTGGGTGACAGAGTAAGACTCTATCTCAAAAAATTAATTATTTTTTTAAAAAGTTGTTAAAAAGCCCCTCTGGGCCTGATCCTGATCATCTAAAGGGGCTCTCCTTTCTCAGATCAAAAGGTTTATTTTCTTTCTCATTCCCTGCCCAGCTCTCCCCCACTTTTTGTTTAAGGTCTCACTCTGTTGCCCAGGCTGGAGGGCAGTGGTGTGAACATAGCTCACAGCAGCCGTTTCCTGGGCTCAAACGGTCCTCCCACCTCAGCCACCTCAGTAGCTGGGACTACAAGGGCACCACTATGCCCGGCTAATTTTCTTTTTTTTTTTTTTTTTTTTGAGACGGAGTCTCTGTCGCCCAGGCTGGAGTGCAGTGGCACGATCTCAGCTCACTGCAAGCTCCACCTCCCGGGTTCACGCCATTCTCCTGCCTCAGCCTCCCGAGTAGCTGGGACTACAGGCGCCCGCCACCTCTCTCGGCTACTTTTTTGTATTTTTTTTTTTAGTAGAGACGGGGTTTCACCGTGTTTGCCAGGATGGTCTTGATCTCCTGACCTCGTGAACCGCCTGTCTCGGCCTCCCAAAGTGCTGGGATTACAGGCTTGAGCCACCGCGCCCGGCCATGCCCGGCTAATTTTCTAAACTTTTTGTAGAGAGGGGGTTTCGCCATATTGCCCCAGCTGTCTTGAACTCCTGACCTCAAGTGAACCTCCCACAACGACCTCCCAAAGCACTGGGATTACAGGTGTGAGCCAGTGTGTCTGGCCCTGATATGTTCTTAACATCCCCTCCCACCACCACCACCACACCAATTTGGAAGGTTCTAGAAGATTCCTAGGACTGGGCTTTGTAGCTGCAAAAGTAGCTTTTGCTGGATGTAAAGATTTGCAGTTATTTATCTTCCTTTCTGAATAAGGAGATTAAACTAAAGAACAGAAAATAGATGGCTAGGCGTGGTGACTCAAGCTTGTAATCCCAGCACTTTGGAAAGCCAAGGCAGGCAGATCACTTGTGGTCAGGAGCATCACTACCAAAAATTACAAAATTTAGCTGAGTTTTGTGACCCGTACCTGTAATCCCAGTTACTCAGGAGGTTGAGGCACGAGAATCGCTTGATTCAGGGAGGTGGAGGCTACAGTGAGCCAAGATCGCACCACTGTACTCCGCCCGGGCGACAGAGAGCGAGATCCTGACTCCAACAAACAAATAAACAAAAAAAACCAGAAAACATTGTGCTCTTAGACAAAATGCATCACACAATCCACCTATCAGGAGGCTGCTCGGGCCTGGCAGCAGGGTCGCCAGCCCTCACCTTGGTCAACGTGTACGTCCCCAGCAGGTTCAGCTCCAGCAGCTGGCGGAATCCCTGGGCAGAGGTCTCCTCAGGCCTCTGTGGGGGTGGGTCTAAAGTGGGGGGTGAGAGAGAGAGGAAGAGTGAGGGGGGCCGGATGCAGTGGCTCACGCCTGTAATCCCAGCACTTTGGAAGGCCAAGGCGGGCGGATCATGAGATCAGGAGTTTGAGACCAGCCTGGCCAACATGGCGAAACCCCTTCTCTACTAAAAATACAAAAATTAGCCAAGTGTGGTGGTGGGTGCCTATATTCCCAGCTACTCAAGAGGCTGAGGCAGGAGAATTGCTTGAACCTGGGAGGTGGAGGTTGCAGTGAGCCTAGATCAAGCCACTGCACTCCAGCCTGAGTGACACACTGAGACCCCGTCTCAGAGAGAGAGAAAAAAAAAAAAAAAGGCCGGGTGCAGTGGCTCATGCCTGTAACCCCAGCACTTGGGGAGGCCGAGGTGGGCAGATCATCTGAGGTCAGGAGTTCAAGACCAGCCTGGCTAACACGAAGAACCCCATCTCTACTAAAAACATAAAAATTAGCCTGGCGTGCTGGCGGGCACCTGTAATTCCAGTTACTTGGGAGGCTAAGGCAGGAGAATCACTTGAACCCGAGAGGCGGAGGTTGCAGTGAGCTGAGATGGTGCCACTGCACTCCAGCCTGGACAATAGAGCTTAACTCCATCTCAAAAAGAGAGAGAGGGAGAGAGAGAGAGAAAGAAAGAAGGAAGGAAGGAGGGAGGGAGGGAGGGAGGGAAGACATGGTCAGGTGAAGGCACAACTTTGGGGACACACAGGAGGGATGGAACAGGACCAGTTTCAGCCCAGGCCTAGGGGGCTTCCATTGGTTTACTCTCCTGTCCAAGTGACTAGAAAGAGGTATGAGGCAGGATGAGGGAATCAGGGGAAGGAAGTGGGGAAACTGAAGTGCAGGAAACGGAGTTGGGGGGGCAGGAGGGGAGGAATGGCCCTGAGGTCTCACAACTCACGGTGGCCAGCGTTGTTGACAACACAATCCAGGCGGCCAAATCTGCGAATGGTCTCAGAAACCAGGGTCTGAGGAGGAAGGAAATGTCCTTTGTTGTTGTTGTTGTTGTTGTTGTTTTTGGAGACGGTGTCTCCTTCTTGTCACTCAGGCTGGAGTGCATTGGCACGATCTCAGCTTACTGCAACTTCCACCTTCTGGGTTCAAACGACTCTCCTACCTCCGCCTCCCAAGTAGCTGGGATTATAGGCACCTGCCACCACGCCCAGCTAATTTTTGTATTTTTTAGTAGAGACGGGGATTCACTATGTTGTCCAAGCTGGTCTCAAACTCCTGAGCTCAAGTGATCCGCCCGCCTCAGCCTCCCAAAGTGCTGGGATTACAGGCACCATGCCCAGCCCAGGAAATGTCCTTTCAATGAGAAGTAGATGGGGTGTCCAGCCATAAAGAAGACAGGGCTCCCAAACGCAAAGCAGGAGGGGGAAGCTGGACTCCCAGGTCAGGGCACAAGAACTAGAGGAAGAGGGGATGTGGAGATCAGCAGACACAGCAGGCAAGCAGGAGACAGGAAGGAGACAGAGGGCTGGTCAGAGCCACACTGCACCCAGGGTTGGGGGGGGGCATGGGGGTGACAAAGATTCAGAGAGAGTGTAGGGGACAGTTACTAAAGGGGGGCAGATAACAGAGAGATACTGATTAAAAGGAAGAAACAGGAACCCAGAAATAATGGAGAAAAAAATCAGTTACAGGCCATGTGCAGTGACTCACACCTGTAATCCAAACACTTTGGGAGGCTGAGGTGGGTGGATCACGTGAGGTCAGGAGTTCGAGACCAGTCTGGCCAACATAGTGAAATCCCGTTTCTACTAAAAATACAAAAATTAGCCGGGTGCGGTGGCTCATGCTTGTAATCCCAGCACTTTGGGATGCCAAGGCAGGCGGATCACCTGAGGTCGGGAGTTCGACACCACCCTGACCAACATAGAAAAACACCATCTCAACTAAAAATACAAAATTAGCCAGGTGTGGTGGCGCATGCCTGTAATCCCAGCTACTCAGGAGGTTGAGAGAGGAGAAACACTTGAACCCGGGAGGCGGAGGTTGCAGTGAGCCGAGATCACATCATTGCACTCCAGCCTGGGCAACAAGAGCAAAACTCCGTCTCAAAAAAAAAAAAAAAAAAAAAAAAAAAAAACAGGGCATGGTGGCGCACGCCTGTAATCCCAGCTACTCAGGAGGCTGAGGTAGGAGAGTGGCTTGAACCTGGGAGGCAGAGGTTGCAGTGAACCAACATCACGCCACTGCACTCCAGCCTCAGTGACAGTGACACCTCCAAAAGAGAGATGGAAAAATCAGTTATAGTTGACCCACTTTGAGGGACTTACTCCTTTCCACCCACGTGTCAGATGTGCTAAGAGCCTTGGAGAGGTGGGAGAGAAGGAACATGTGACCTGCTCATCAGTCACAGAAGATCTTGTGTGTGGAGTGACGCTGGTTGGAAACCTTTGACGGGTCCAGTGGAGCCAGGAGAGGAAGGAAAAGTAGAGGGAAAGGCACATGCAAATGGCTGGAGGAGAACAAAGAACTGGTCATTAGCGGAGATGGGGGTAGGAATGGGAACGTCGCTCACCTTCACATCATCTTCCTGAGTCACATCACAGAGGATAAAGACAGTTCCAGGGAGCTCCTGCTCCAGGGCCCGGCCCCCAGACTCTGCAGGCAGAAAAGAGCTGGGAGCCTGGACCCCTGGGCCTGAGGGAGGAGGAGCTGGGGGCCTGGACCCCTGGGCCTGAGGGAGGAGGGGCCGGAGTCTGGACTCCTGGGTCTGAGGGAGGAGGGGCTGGGGCTCCTGGACTCCTGGGTCTGAGGGAGGAGGGGCGGGGGGCTGGGCCCCTGGGTCTGAGGGAGGAGGGGCCGGGGTCTGGACTCCTGGGTCGAGGGAGGAGGGGACTGGGGTCTGGACTCCTGGGTCTGAGGGAGGAGGGGCTGGGTCCTGGACTCCTGGGTCTGAGGGAGGAGGGGACTGGGGTCCTGGACTCCTGGGTCTGAGGGAGGAGGGGCTGGGTCCTGGACTCCTGGGTCTGAGGGAGGAGGGGACTGGGGTCCTGGACTCCTGGGTCTGAGGGAGGAGGGGCTGGGTCCTGGACTCCTGGGTCTGAGGGAGGAGGGGAAGAGTGCTGGGGGTCTGGACTCCCGGGTCTGAGGGAGGAGGGACTGGGGGTCTGGACTCTGGGTCTGAGGAGGAGGAGGGTCTGGGGGTCTGGACTCCTGGGTCGAGGAGGAGGGGCTGGGTCTGTGGACTCCTGGGTCTGAGAGGAGGTGCTGGGGAGCCTGGACTCCTGGGTCTGAGGAGGAGGTGCTGAGGGCCTGGACTCCTGGGTCTGAGGAGGGGCTGGGGTCTGGACTCCCTGGGTCTCACGGGGAGGAGGGCTGGGGTCTGCTCTCCTGGGTCTGAGGAGGAGGTGCTGGGGGGCCTGGACTCTGGGTCTGAGGGGAGGGCTGGGACTCCTGGACTCCTGGGTCTGAGGGAGGAGGGGTTGGGGCACGGAGCTCCTGGGTCTGAGGGAGGGGCTGGGGCGGCCTGGACTCCTGGTCTGAGGAGGGCTGGGACGCTCTGGACTCTGGGACTGAGGAGGAAGGACCAGGGTGAGGCACAGCTGAGGCTGTGAGGGACCCTCACTCACCATCCTTGTCACCAGATAACACTTGGGCCCCTTTTGTCCACTGAGAATAGGGAAGAACACGTTACCCTCTGAGTCTTGGTTAAGCCTCTGCCGCCCTCTTGTGGCCACCTGGTTGGGGCCGATCTCCGTCTACCCCCTCGTGACCCCCCAGTCTCATGATCACCCCCACAGGACAGAAGCGGGAGCCTTGACGCTATACTCTCCTTGCCTGCCCAGGTTTCTGCTGAGCTCCTGATCCCCCGTTCGCGTAGGTTCCAAACTCCACGACTGACAGGGCCATTCCCAAACCACTGGTTTTGCAGCTACACCAACAGACCCAGAGAAGGGGGCTACTGCCTTCGAAGTGCCTAGCCTACCGCGCCGCTTACTTTAGCCTGCAAATTGGCTTTTATAAGATCAGAATCCCGGCTGCGGTATTGGAGACCACCGCCCCCATCGCCCCCGCCCCATCCTTCCTCTCTCACACTCCACAGCTCCCAGCTTGATCGAAGGGCCCGGCTCACCCGAGGCGCGCACGATCCCAGCTCCGATGCCGCGCCCACCCCCGGTCACAACCACCACCTTCCGGCATAGCGCGTTCTGTAGCCATCCCGTGTCGGTCTCTCTCTCTCTCTCTCTCTCCTCTGGGCCTTTTTCACTTCCAAAGCCCCGTGAGGCCGTCGCATCAAATCCTCAATAGAAGCTGGGTCGTGGAGTCCAGCCTCAGGGGGCGTTGCCAGAGAGGCTTCCCAGGGACCTGGAAGTTTGTCCCCTCCTCCCTCAGACACTCCTCTCCTCCCACGAGACACAGGAATCCAGGAGCCATTCCTCCTCCAGACCCAGGAGTCCAGCCTCCCTCCTCCCTCAGACCCAGGGTCCACTCCCTCAGACCCAGGTCCAGCCTCCAGCCCCTCCTCCCCTCAGACCCAGGGTCCAGCCCCCTCCTCCCTCAGACCCCAGGAGTCCAGCCTCCCAGCCCCTCCCTCAGACCAGGAGTCAGGGTCCCAGCCCCTCCTCCTCAGACCCACAGGAATCCTGGCCCGAGCCCTTTCACTCTCTCAGACAGGGATCAGGTTCTCGCCCTCCTCCCAGAGACCTGTAGTCCGAAGCCCCTGTCCCTTCCTCTCTCAGGACCCAGGAGTGCACGACTCCGGCTCTGCCCCTCAGAGACCCCAGTGCCACAACTCCAAAAACAGACAGAAACAAAGCTATTGATGACTAAAAGTTCAAGTTTTAATCAGAGCTGAACAGTGTTGAAAATCAAACTTTGGCCATAGAAAACCATTTCCCTCCCGGGCGAGCAGTGGGGACCAGACCACGCCCCTGATGCCTAATTGGTCCCAGATCTCCGGCGGTACACTCAGACCACGTGCTCACGCTCCGATTGGCTTTGCCGCGTTTGGGCGGTTAGAAGCAGACTGCCCGCTTAGGAAGCAAGCTGCAGAGCCACGCCTGTCTTGGGGCAGGACCGGAAGTCAGCCCCAGGGGGCGAAGGACCTCCTCCACGCCCACTCCCTCGGCACGAAGAACCCTGTGGAGACCCGAATTAGCCACCGGGGAAGATCTTGGGGAAGGGTCTCCTGGCACTGTGGGAGTCCAGAGCAGCGGCACATGGGAAGAGGGTCTCCTGGGAGTCCAAATTTCCACCTAGAGAGGATGGGTGGGGGCATATAAGAACGATAAACTTCAGCAGCAGGACTCCGGGTTCCCAGCACTCCTCCCTCGGGCAGAGTCCAGGCCCCAGCCCCTCCTCCCTCAGACCCAGGAGTCCAGGCCCCCAGCCCCCTCCTCCCTCAGGCAGAGGTCCAGGCCCCCAGCAACCTCCTCCCACCCAGGAGTCCAGACCTCCACCCAGACCCAGGCGGAGCCCCAGCCCCTCCTCCCTCCAGACCCAGGAGTCCAGGCCCCCAACTTACCCTCCTCTCCCTCAGACCCAGGAGTCCAGGGCCCCCAGCCCCTCCTCCCTCAGACCCAGGAGTCCAGGCCCCCAGCCCCTCCTCCCTCCGACCCAGGAGTCCAGGCCCCCAGCCCCTCCTCCCTCGGAGCTTAGGAGTCAGGCCCCCAGCCCCTCCTCCTCAGACCCAGGAGTCCAGACCCCAGCCCCTCCTCAGAACCCAGAGTCCAGGAGCCCCCAGCCCCTCCTCCCTCAGACCCAGGAGTCCAGACCCCAGCCCTCCTCAGACCCACGGAGTCCAGACCCCAGCCCCTCTCCCTCAGACCCAGGAGTCCAGGAGCCCCAGCCCCTCCTCCTCCAGACCCAGAGTCCAGACCCCAGCCCGTTCTCCCTCCGGGCCAGGAGTCAGACCCAGCTCCTCCTCCCTCGAAGACCCAGGAGTCCAGGGAGCCCCCAGCCCCCTCCCTCAGACCCAGGAGTCCAGACCCCAGCCGTTCTCCCTCAGACCCAGGAGTCCAGGAGCCCCAGCCCGTCCTCCCTCAGACCCAGGAGTCCAGACCCCCAGCCCCTCCTCCCTCCAGACCCAGGAGTCCAGACCCCGGCCCCTCCTCCCTCAGGCCAGAGTCCAGGTCGGCCCCTCCTCCCTCAGACCTGGAGTCCAGGCCCCAACCCCTCCTCCCTCGAACCCGGGAGTCTGGACACCCAGTCAGACTTCTTTCAGGCTCAGATGTCGGTCCTCTGCCGCCCCTGACCTCTTCCTCCCCCTCCTCCCAAGAATTGTCCGGAACCCAGTCCACTCTTGCCTGAGACCTAAAACTCCCAAACTCTGCCCAACTCTTTCCTCGCCAACATAAAAAAATTCCCACCGGCCTAAGACCCCTCCTCTCCAGGACCTGGGATTCCAGGTCTCCAGCTCTCTCCTCCTAAAACCCAGGGGATTCAACATCCCCAGCCAGTCACCTGTCATCATTCTGTGCCACTGCGACGCCTCAGTAGCCAGGGCTTAGGAGAGGCTGGTGCCGGCTCGGTGACCTTGGAAGTCGGCAAGTAGGGGAGTGGTGTTCTTGGACTAGAAAAAAAAAAGAAGATTGGGGAGTGGAGTATTTGTGGGGAGAGGTGTAGATGGTTAATTGGTACAAAAAAGAAAAGGATGAATAGAACTTCTACCATTAGATAGCACAACAGAGTGACTATAGTCAACCAAAAATTTAATTGTACATTTTAAAATAAAGTGTGTAATTGGATTGTTTATATAAAAAGGTAAATCCTTGAAAGGGGATGGTTTCTATTCCCATGAGAAAGCGTGCTTATTTCATTGCCTGCCTGCTTATCAAAGCTTATCTCATTTATCCGTAAATATATGTACACCTACTAGCCTATAGAAATTAAAAATTAAAAGCAGTCCAGGTGCGTGAAAACCATCCTGTAATCCCAGCACCTGGGGAGGCAGGTGGGGATCACTTGAGGTCGGGAGTTCGAGACCACTCTGAAAAGCATGGGAAACCCAGTCTCTACTAAAAATACAAACAAGATTAGCCAAACACTTATGGTGATGGGCGCCTGTAATCCCAGCTATTACAGGGTTGAGGAAGGAGAATCACTGGGAGGGCAGGAAGGAGGAAGTTGCAGTGAACTGAATCACGCCATTTGCTCAGCCTGGGAGACAGGCAAGACTCGTCTCAAAAAACAAACAAACAAACAAAAACAAAAACAAAAAAAAAAAAAAAAGTAAAAATAAAAATAAAAATAAAAACTAAACAGCTCGCACAGTGGGGACCCAGGTACCTGCGTGCCCTTCTGGTGTAGTTCTAGCACATTGGCTCTCTAGCAGATGTTAAACATGGCACCGCCCTCGCGCCCTTGCATTATGGGATTTGTAGTCCATTCGCCGTCACTACCACCCAATTTCCTTGATGCAGAAGCAGGTATGCCCAGTGACCAAAAAGAATTTGGGGAACTAAAGATATCACTAAAAGTAAAAATAAAAATAAAAATAAAAACTAAACAGCTCGCACAGTGGGGACCCGGGTACCGCGCGTGCCCTTCTGGGAGTTGTAGTTCCTAGCACGTGTCTCTAACAGATGTTAAACATGGCACCGCCCTCATACCGCCCACATGCATTATGGGATTTGTAGTCCATTCGCAAATCACTACCACCCAATTTCCTTGATGCAGAAGCAGGTATGCTATTGACCAAGGGAATTTGGGGAACTAAAGATATCACTACGGATCTAGGGCTTTCCGGTTTTGTTTCAGATGCCCCGGGAACGTAAGCGCGCGATTTGTAGTTCTATATTCAGGAGACTTCAATAATAATGCTACTCCCCTTTGCTTATGCAAATTTTTTTTTTCCTGCTCCCTTGATACGCCCTCCAGTTCCTTACCTACTCCAAGACCCAGAGCTTCTGAGCCATTTCTGGGCTCCCGAGTGTCCTACGACAGGCTGGAAAGGAATTGGGGCATTAGAACTCCTCACCTGGAAGCCCCACATTCTCATTTTGAGGGTGAAGTGAAGGGGCTCCAAAAGAGAATGAAATTGCCCAAAAACACTGGCAATGTTTCGTTTTGTTTTTCCTATGCTTCCGTAGGCACTGAATTTTTAAAAATTAATTTATTGGCCGGGCACGGTGGCTCAAGCCTGTAATCCCAGCACTTTGGGAGGCTGAGACAGGCGGATCACAAGGTCAGGAGATTGAGACCATCCTGGCTAACACAGTGAAACCCCGTCTCTACTAAAAAAATACAAAAAACTAGCCGCGCGAGGTGGCAGGCGCCTGTAAGTCCCAGCTACTCGGGAGGCTGAGGCAGGAGAATGGTGTAAACCCGGGAGGCGGAGCTTGCGGTGAGCTGAGATCCGGCCACTGCACTCCAGCCTGGGCGACAGAGCGAGACTCTGTCTCAAAAAAAATAAATAAATAAAAATAAAAATAAATTTATTTTATTTATTCATTTTTTAGAACGGATGGAGTACAGCAGCGTGATCATAGCTCACTGCAGTCTCAACCTCCCAGGCTCAAACTAATCCTGCTTCAGCCTCCTGAGTAAGTAGAACTTCAGGCTCACACCACCATGCCTGGCTAATTATTTTTATTTTTATTTTTAGTAGAGACAAGGTCTTGCTATGTTGCCCAGGCTGGTCTCTTACTCCTGCCTCAGCCTCCCAAAGTACTGGGATTACAGGGGCAAGCCATAGCACCCAGCGACTGACAATGTTTAACTTTACCTCTCTGTGTTCCTATAAAGCAGCACATGAGTTCAGAAATCCAACCTCCACCACCACCACCTGTCTAAATCCTTTCTATAAAAGTCTAAGGGGCCAGGTGCAGTGGCTCACACCTGTAATCCCAGCACTTTGGGAGGCCAAGGTGAGTAGATCACTTGAGGTCAGGAGTTCAAGAACAGCCTGGTCAGTATGGTGAAACCCCATCTCTACTAAAAATACAAAAAAAAAAATTAGCAGGGTATGGTGGCGTGGGCCTACAATCCCAGCTACTTGGGAGGCTGAGGCAGGAGAATTGTTTGAACCCGGGAGACAGGGGTTGCAGTGAGCTGAGATTCCGCCACTACACTCCAGCACAGGCAACAAAGGAAGACTCCATCTCAAAAAAAGAAAAAAAAAATCTAAGGGGAGGTCAGGTGCAGTAGCTCACACCTCTATTCCTAGCACCTCCTTCCAAGGCAGGACGATCACTTGAGCTCAGGAGCTCAACACCAGCCTAGCCAATGTGGTGAAAATCTGTCTCTACTAAAAATACAAAAATTGGCTTGATGTGGTGGCGCATCCCTGTAGTCCCAGCTACTCAGGAGGCTGAGGCATGAGAATCACTTGAACCCAGGAGGTGAAGGTTGTAGTGAGTGGAGATCGCACCACTGCACTCCAGCCTGAGAGACAGAGCAACACCTCGTCCCTGAAAAAAGAAAACACCTTTTTTTTTTTTTTTTGAGACAGAGTTTCACTCTTGTTGCCCAAGTTGGAGTGCAATGGCACAATCTTAGCTCACTGCAACCTCCACCTCCTGGGTTCAAGTGATTCTCCTGCCTCAGCCTCCCGAGGAGCTGGGATTATAGGCGTGCGCCACCACGGCCAGCTGATTTTGCATTTTTAGTAGAGACAGGGTTTCTCCATGTTGGTCAGGCTGGGTCTCGAACTCCCGACCTCAGGTGATCCGCCCGCCTTGGCCTCCCAGAGTGCTGGGATTACAGGCGTGAACCACCGCACCCGGCCAAAAAAAGAAAATGTCTAAGGGGAAACCATCCTGAGATATCTGAGACACTCTGATGCTCAGATCTGGGATGTTCTCCCTACTGAAAGGGCATGAATAAAATCAATTTTCTTGCTGTCTTACATTTTCTTTTTTTGCTTTCTTGCTGTTGACAACACATAGCAACTGAGAAGAAAAAGTAGGCTTCCAATCCAGATCTGTGACCCCCTGCCCCCACCCACTGTCCTCCCCTCACTGCCACTCCTGTCCACCCACCACTAACCAGGCCAGGAAGCTGACTTTAGCACAAGTACAAACTGAGGTAAATCTGGAAATCCAGCTTGGAGTAAGGAGGTAGGCATTATCTCCATTTTACAGAAAGGGACTCAAAGTAGGCGAAGAGGACCTACTACCACCCCACCGCCCAGCCTTAGTCCTCCTCCCCTCACCCTTTGCTCCACTTCAGGCTGGCGTCTGGCTGGGGACAGTGTCCTTCCCAGGGTGAGGAGCCGCGGGGAGGTCGGGCGAGGGAGGGGCCGTCCACATTCCTGGTTTCTGCGCATCCGCTCCAGCTGCTCCTGGGCACTCATTCGGGGCCGGGCCACCGGGGCCTAGGGAGGTGAGAAACATCCCAAGACCCAACCCTTAGACCAGGCACAGTGGCTCGTGTAATCCCAGCACTTTGGGAGGCTGAGGCGAGAGGATCACTTGAGGTCAGGAGTTCAAGACCAGCCTGGCCAACTTGGCGAAATACCATCTCTATTAAAAATACAAAAATTAGCTGGCCATGGTGGCAGGCACCTGTAATCCTAGTTACTCGGAAGACTGAGGCAGAAGAATTGCTTGAACCCTGGAGGTGGAGGTTGCAGTGAGCTGAGATCACACCATTGCACTCCAGCCTGGATGACAGAGCGAGACTCTGTCTCAAAAAATATATATAATATATGTTGCTTAAACAAGGAGAGAGGGAAAAGACCAAGTGCAGTGGTGGGTGACTATAATCCCAGAGCTTTGGGAGGCTGAGGTGGGAGGATCACTTGTGGCCAAGAGTTTGAGACCAGCCTGGGCAACATAGCAAGACCCCATCTCTACAAAACATAAACTTGTTAGATGTGGTGGTGGACGCCTATCAGTTACTCAAGAGGCTGAGGCAGGGGGATCACTTAAGCCCAGGAGTTCAAGGCTTCAGGGAGCTATGATCGTGCCACTGTACTCCACTCTGGGTGACAGAGCAAGACCCCATATCTAAAAGCAAAAAGAAAAGAGAGAGAGAGAGCACTCATTGCTGGAGCTTCCGGTTAAACATCCCAGCGAGATAGCATGGATCTGTGTTTATTGTAGAACCAGCCCCTGCAGTTTCCTCTGCTTTGAGCAATCCTGAGTCCCGTTTATATAAATGATGTCCACTGGCCACTGTATATTACCACTGTGTATTACACTGTATATGATGCTAATTTCATTTTTTTTTTTGAGACGGAGTCTCACTTTGTCACCTAGGCTGGAGTACAGTGGCTCAATCTCTGCTCACTGCAACCTCTGCCTCCTGGGTTCAAGCAGTTCTCTGCCTCAGTCTCTCAAGTAGCTGGGTATACAGGCGTGAGCCACCGCGCCTGGCCAATGTTAATTTCTTCACAGCAGGCCAGACCATTGGCCTAAAAGCTTGGGAGCAGCAAACTCAGATTTCTACACATCCAATTGTTTTAAACACAGTCATAATAAGCAGATCTTTTCAGCCATGCAGTCTGCCTGCTTTGTATACCCCGAGACTGTGCCCAACATCTGCTACCCATAGATAAGATGAGCCCCAAGCCCCCGCTGCTCTTTGGAGCTCTCTGATCCAGAGAACTCTCTACATACTGCTGGCTGGCATCACCCAGATGTAAGCCCCTTCTCCAGTCCCTCTCTCTTGGGAGCTTGCCTTCCTCTCCTCCTGTGCAGTGGTCCTCACCCTCACACAGGAGCCTCTGGAGTGTCTCACACTGGGTGTGACTTCCTCCGTAGACAAATCTGTCAGTGTCCGCCAAATAAAGCTCCTGTGTGCTACTGCCATCTGGCGGTCATAGCTTTTTCTTTGCTAAGCCCTGAAATCCCTGGAACACACTAGTCCACCCCTGTTGGCAGCCCCTGAAACCACGGGGTTGGGGTGAGGGAGGAGTATGTTCCAAGAAAAGTGATGTTCCCAGGAGGCTCCAATCACCCATGCCCGTGACAAACCACTGAGAATCAAAAAGCTCCTCTCCTGTCTTCCTAGGAAAGGCTTGATTGATCGCCTTTGTATCCATGATAACAAGTAAGCACAAGAAATGCAATTTTTTTTTTTTTTGAGACGGAGTCTCGCTCTGTCGCCCAGGCTGGAGTGCAGTGGCGGGATCTCAGCTCACTGCAAGCTCCGCCTCCCGGGTTTACGCCATTCTCCCGCCTCAGCCTCCCGAGTAGCTGGGACTACAGGCGCCCGCCACCTTGCCCGGCTAGTTTTTTGTATTTTTTTAGTAGAGACGGGGTTTCACCGGGTTAGCTGGGATGGTCTTGATCTCTTGACCTCGTGATCTGCCCGTCTCGGCCTCCCAAAGTGCTGGGATTACAGGCTTGAGCCACCGCGCCCGGCCTTTTTTTTTTTTTTTTTTTTTTTGGACATGGTTTCCCTCTGTTGCCCAGGCTGGAGTGCAGTGGTGCAATTATGGCTCACTGCAGCCTTGACCTCCTGGGTTCAAGTAATCCTCATGTCTCAAACTCCCAAGTAGCTGGGACCACAGGTGGACACCACTACGCACAGCTAACTTTTTATTTTTTTATTTTTTGAAATGGAGTCTTGCTCTGTTACCCAGGCTGAAGGGCAGTGGCGTGATCTTGGCTCACTGCAACCTTCGCCACCCAGGTTCAAGCGATTCTCCTGACTCAGCCTCCCAAGTAACTTGGATTACAGGTACGCGCTGCCACACCCCGCTAATTTTTGTATTTTTAGTAGAGATGGGGTTTTGCCGTGTTGGCCAGTGTGCTCTTGAACTCCTGACCTCAGGTGATCCACCCGCCTCGGCCTCCCAAAGTGCTGGGATTACAGGCGTGAACCACTGCACCCAGCCACAGCTAACTTTTTATTTTTTGTGTGTAGAGATGGCTATATTAGCCAGGCTGCTCTTGAACGCCTGGGCTCAAATGATCCACCTACCTTGGCCTCCCAAAGTGTTGGGATTACAGGCATGAGCCAACACCACTGGCCAAGAAATGCTTTTATTTATTTATTATTATTATTGTTATTATTACTTTGAGATAGAGTCTCGCTCTGTTGCCCAGCCTGGAGTGCAGTGGTGCAATCTTGGGTCTCTGCCACCTCTGCCTCCTGTGTTCAAGCGATTCTCCTGCCTCGGCCACCCAAGTAACTGGGATTACAGGCACCCGCCATCACACTCGGCTAATTTTTGTATTTTTGTAGAGACAGGGTTTTCACCATGTTGGCCAGGCTGGTCTCGAACTCCTGACCTCAGATGACCTGCCTGCCTTGGCCTCCCAAAGTGCTGGGATTACAGGTACGAGCCATCGTTCCCTACCCCAAGAAGTGCTTTTAAATCTATTTGATCAAATAATCCCAACAGGTACCCCAAAGGCTTCTGAAAGCCAGCCAATCAGTGATGGAGCCAAGCGTCTGAAAATCAGCCAATCAGTGACGTTCACATGCTTCTGCGGGCTGGCCAATCAGTGATGGATCCGTACTTCTGAAAATCAGCCAATCAGTGATAGCTCCATGCTTCTGAAAACCAGCCAATCAGCAACAGACACAGAGCACAGAGTTTCCACAGCTTAATGTTAACCAATTCCTAAACATTCCTGCCGCTGGAAGTCCACCAATTTCTGAACTCCAGGGCCACATGAGATCAGCATTCTGTTCCACTCAGGGAGTCTTTTTTTTTTTTTTTTTTTTTTTGAGATAGAGTTTTTGCTCTTGCCACACAGGCTGGAGTGCGATGGTGCAATCTCAGCTCACTGCAACCTCTGCCTCCTGAGTTCAAGCGATTCTCCTGCCTCAGCCTCCCAAGTGGCTGGGATTACAGGTGCCTACCACCATGCCTGGCTAATTTTTGTACTTTTAGTAGAGACGGGGTTTCACCACGTTAGCCAGGCTGGTCTCGAACTCCTGACAAAGTGCTGGGATTACAGGCGTGAGCCACCACGCCTGGCCTCATTCATCTAGTTTTCATCTTCGTGTCAGCCCTAGGTGGTAGGTTCTACTTTTGGCTCCATTTTAGAGATGAAAAAGTGGAGGCACAGAGAGGTTTAATAACTGACCCAAAGTCACATGGCTTAGAAGCAACAGAGACAAAAATCAATCTCAATGCTCTTAACAAGCAGTGCTGTCTCTGCTCTGAGTGTGGCCTTAGAAGGCTCTGTTACTAGCTGTTTCCCAGAAGTGTGAGGGTCCCTGATGGTCAGATGCAAGGATTACAAGATGGACCTACAGCCTACCTTGGTTCCCAGCTGTGGGGAAGGGAGGTGGCGACCCTCAGGGCTGGAAGCCCGGGAGACCCTCGGAGACCCAAGACCTGGAAAGACAGAACGGGACTTGGTGAGGACGGGAATTTCTGTAAAGTCCCACCCGACCAGGATGCTCACCTAAGCGAGGGCTGGCCAGGTCTTTGTCGCCTGCAGGAGGCCGTCCCCAGTCAGTCTCAGGGGACCTAGGGGAGCTCAGTTCCAAGGACTCCGGCAGGCTCTGCGGGGATTAGAAAAGGGGGATAATGACGATCATGATCATTATTATTATTATTAACATGTTGCAAGCATTTAGGAATTGGAATACAGTCTGAATAGGATTAAGACTATAAACCAGGCCAGGCACAGTGGCTCATGCCTGTAATTCCAGCACTTTGGGAGGCCGAGGCAGGCAGATCACCTGAGGAGTTCAAGACCAGTTTAGTCCAACATGGTGAAACCCCATCTCTACTAAAAATACAAAAATTAGCCAGGCATGGTGGCAGGTGCCTGTAATCCCAGCTACTCAGGAGGCTGAGGCAGAAGAATCACTTGAACCCAGGAGTTGGAGGGTGCAGTGAGCCGAGATCGCACCACTGCACTCCAGCCTGGGTGACAGAGCAAGACTCTGTCTCAAAAAAAAAAAAAAAAAAAAAAAGGCTATAAACCAGATCTGAGCACGGAGACTTGTGCTTGTAATCTCAGCCCTTTGAGAGGCCAAGGAGAGGATCACTTGAGGCCAGGAGCTAGAGACCAGCTGGGCAACAAGCAAATTCGCTTTCCTACAAAAACTTTTTAAGGCCGGACCCAGTGGCTCACGCCTGTAATCCTCCAGCACTTTGGGAGGCCAAGGCAGGCGGATCACAAGGTCAGGAGATCGGGACCATCCTGGCTAACACAGTGAAACCATATCTCTACTAAAAATACAAAAAAAAAAAAAAAAAAAAATTAGGCGGACGTGGTGGCGGGCGCCTGTAGTCCCAGCTACTCGGGAGGTTGAGGCAGGAGAATGGTGTGAACCCGGGAGGTAGAGCTTGCAGTGAGCCGAGATCGAGCCACTGCACTCCAGCCTGGGTGACAGGCTTTAAAAAAAATCCTGGTTGGGTGAGGTGGCTCAAGCCTGTAATCCCAACACTTTGGGAGGCCGAGGCAGTCGGATTACTTGAGGCCAGGAGTACGTGACCAGCCTGGCCAACGTGGTGAAACTCCGTTTCTACTAAAAATACAAAACTTAGCCAGGCTTGGTTGTGGGCGCCTGTAATCCCAGCTACTTTGGAGGCTGAGGCAGGAGAATCACTGGAACCCAGGAAAAAAAACAAAAAACACCCAAAAAACAAAGAAAAACAAAGGCTTCCAGAAGTTAGGACACTTGCGAGAGATGGGTTAGCTGATCAAGGAAGAATTAAAGAGGTGGGTGGGGAATAGACTGAGCCAAGGACAGGTGGGACAGAAAGCTAGGGGTGGAGAGACAGTTGTGTGCATCTTACCTCCCTCTCTGAGGACTCCTCGCCCTGGAGCACGGGAGATGGGGAGTCAGGCTCAGTGTGTGGGGGCGGTTTCTGGGGGCCACCCAGACCTGCCAGCGTGTCTTCCACCATCCACAGCTGCTGCTGAGCGGACACTCTGTCCTGCGGGGAGGAAAGGAATTTGTTACTTAAAGGTGGGAAAAGGCAGGAGGGTTTCAGCTAATAGGCCCCTGCAAAAGTCTGAAATCAGCTGGGCTATATTTATGGAGTTGGTATTTTTTTTTTTTTTCATGTGGTTATCCAGATGACTTGAAAAAGCTGTCTTTTGGCCAGGCATGGTGGCTCACGCCTGTAATGCCAGCATTTTGGGAGGCCGAGGCGGGTGGATCACCTGAGATCAGGAGTTCAAGACCAACCTGGCCAACATGGTGAAACCCCCTGTCTATTAAAAGTACAAAAAAATTAGCCAGGGGTGGTGGTGGGTGTCTGTGATCCCAGCTACTCGGGAGGCTGAGGCAAGAGAATCGCTTGAACCCAGGAGGTGGAGGTTGCAATGAACTGAGATCGCACCACTGCACTCCAGCCTGGGCGACAGAGCAAGACACTGTCTCGAAAAAGAAAAAAAAAAAAAGAAAAAGAAAAAGAAAAAACTCTTTTCTTTCTATGTTGTTTTACTTTGTTACATCTGTTATAAATAGGTGACCATATGAATATATGAGAGTCTGTTCTTTTTGTTTGTTTGTTTTTGGAGAGGGTCCCTCCCTCTGTCACCCAGGCTGGCGTGCAATGGCTTGATCATAGCTCACTGCATCCTCGAACTCTTGGGCTCAAGCGATCCTTCCGTCTCAGCCTCCTTACTAACTGGGACCACAGGCTTGCATCACCAGGCTCAGCTAATTTTTTCATTTTTATTTTCAGTAGAGACGGAGTTTCACCATGTTGCCCGGGCTAGCCTCAAACTCCTGACCTCAGGTGATCCACCTGCCTCATCCTCCCAAAGTGCTGGGATTACAGGCGTGAGCCACTGCACCTGGCATGGGTCTGTTTTTGCCAAGTCTGCGTTTTAGGATCAAGTGGGAGAAGCTTAGAGTGAGAAGATGCATCTGGCATCAATGCTTTTTTTTTTTTTTTTTTTGGGAAGATGGACTCTCCCCCTGTCACCCGGGCTGGAGTGCAGTGGCGCAATCTTGGCTCACTGCAACCTCCGCCTCCCGGGTTCAAGCAATTCTCCTGCCTCAGCCTCCTGAGTAGCTGGGATTACGGTTGCATGCCACCATGCCCAGCTAATTTTTTTGTATTTTTAGTAGAGACAGGTTTTCACCATGTTGGTCAGGCTGATCTCGAACTCCTGACCTCGTGATCCGCCCACCTGGGCCTCCCAAAGTGCTGGGATTGGGATTACAGGCATGAGCCACTGCACCTGGCCTGTTTTGGGATCTTTTTTGAGACAGGGCCTTTTTCTGTAACCCAGGCTGGAGTGCAGTGGTGCAATCATAGCTCATTGTACACTCAAACTCCTGGGCTCAAACAATCCTTCCACCTCAGCCTCCCGAGTAGCTGGGACCACAGGCCCACACCACCATGCCTTGCTTAGGTGTTGATTCTGTTTTTGTTTTTTTATTGTTGTTTCTTTGTTTTTTGTTTTGAGACAGAGTCTCGCTCCCACCCAGGCTGGAGTATAATGGTGCGATCTCGGCTCACTGAAACCTCCGCCTCCCAAGTTCAAGCAATTCTCCTGCCTCAGTCTCCCAAGTAGCTGGGACTGCAGATGCACGCCACTACGCCCAGCTAATTTTTTGTATTTTAGTAGAGACGGGGTTTCACTGTGTTGCCCAGGTTGGTCTCGAACTCCTGAACTCAGACAATCCACCCACCTCAGTCTCCCAAAGTGTTAGGATTACAGGTGTGAGCCAATGTGCCCGACCTTTTTTTTTTTTTTTTTTTTTTTTGAGACCAAGTCTCCCTCTGTCTGTCACCCAGGCTGGAGTGCAGTGGTGCAGTGGCACGCGATCTCGGCTTACTGCAACCTGTGCCTCCCAGCTTCAAGCGATTCTCTCGTGCCTCATCCTCCTGAGTAGCTGGGACTACAGGCGTGCACCAGCACACACAGCAAATTTTTGTATTTTTAGTAGAGACAGGGTTTCACCATGTTCGTCAGGTTGGTCTCAAACTCCTGACCTCAAGTGATCCACCTGCCTTGGCCTCCCAAAGTGCTGGGACTACAGGCGTGAGCCAACATGCCCGGCCATGTCAATGTTTTTAAAGATACATGATTTATAACTTGATGGCTAGACTTAGAGTGAAGAAGCAGGTCTGAGGCTAAGTAATGAGGTTTATATTTTAGGAGCAGAGCTTGCACTAAGGGAAAGGGTTTGGAACCGTAATTCCAGAGGATAAATTTAACAGCAAAAGTCAGGATGCAGGAAGCAAGAGATGAACTTGCAAGATGGAAGAAAGGGTAAGGGTTGGATCTTTGCTAGTGAGAGAATGACTTCAACAAGAGGAGAGATTTAGAACCAGGGGAGAGAGCAGCTCTGGATCTGAAAGTAGGTATTAAAATGAAAGGCATTGGCCAGGCGAGGTGGCTCACACCTGTAATCCTAGCACTTTCGGAGGCCAAGGCAGGCACATCAGAAGGTCAGGAGTTCAAGACCAGCCTAACCAACATAGTGAAACCCCATTTCTACTAAAAATACAAAAATTAGCCGGGCGCGGTGGCGGGCACCTGTAGTCCCAGCTACTCAGGAAGCTGAGGTAGGAGAATTGCTTGAACCCGGGAAGTGGAGGTTGCAGTGAGCCGAGATTGCACCACTGCACTCCAGCCTAGGCAACACAGCAAGACTCCGTCTCATAAATAAATAAATAAATAAATAAATAAATAAATAAATAAATAGAGGGGCCGAAAGTAGGTATTAAAACAAAAGGCATTGGCCAGGCACGGTGGCTCACGCCTATAATCCCAGCACTTTGGGAGGCCGAGGCGGGTGGATCATGAAGTCAAGAGATCTAGACCATCCTGGCCAACATGGTGAAACCCCATCTCTGCTAAAAATACAAAAATTAGCTGAGCATGGTGGCGCATACCTGCAGTCTCAGCTACTTGGGAGGCTGAGGCAGGAGAATTGCTTGAACCTGGGAGGCAGAGGTTGCAGTGAGTTGAGATTGTGTCACTGCACTCCAGCCTGGCGACAGAGCAAGACTCCATCTCAAAATAAGTAAGTAAATAAAAAATAAAAGAAGGGCTGGGTGCGGTGGCTCATGCCTGTAATCTCAGCACTTTGGGAGGCCAAGGCTGGTATATCATCTGAGGTTGTGAGTTCAAGACCAGCTGGACCAACATGGAGAAATCTTGTCTCTACTAAAACTACAAAATTAGCCAGGCATGATGGCACATGCCTGTAATCCCAGCTACTCAGGAGGCTGAGGCAGGAGCATTGCTTGAACCTGGGAGGCGGAGGTTGCGGTGAGCTGAGATTGCGCCGTTGCACTCCAGCTTGGGCAACAGAGCGAGACTCCATCTCAGAAACCATAAGAAAATAAATAAAATAAAAATAAAATAGTAGGCCGGGAGCAGTGGCTCACTCTGGTAATTCCTGCACTTTGGGAGACCGAGGTGGGCGGATCACCTGAGGTCAGGAGTTCAAGACCAGCCTGACCAATATGGTGAAACCCCATCTCTACCAAAAATAGAAAAATTAGCCGGGCGTAGTGGCGGGTGTCTGTAATTCCAGCTGCTTGGGAGGCTGAGGGAGGAGAATTGCTTGAACCTGGGAGGTGGAGGTTGTGGTGAGCCAAGATTGTGCCATTTTACTCCAGCCTGGGCAATAGAGCAAGACTCTGTCTCAAAAAAATAAAAATAAAAAAAGAGTATAATGGATTGTTTGTAACACAAAAGATAAATGCTTGAAGGGATGGACACCCCATTTTCCATGATGGGGTTATTATACATAGCATGCCTGTACCAAAATACCTTATGTACTCCATAAATATATTCATCTGCTATGTACTCACAATACATTTTTTAAAAAGAATGTTGTAGGCTGGGCGCGGTGGCTCACGCCTGTAATCCCAGCACTTTGGGAGGCCAAGGCAGCGGATCACCTGAGGTCAGGAGTTCAAGACCAGCCTGACCAACATGGAGAAACTCCGTCTCTACTAAAAATACAAAATTAGCCAGGTGTGGTGGCAGGCGCCTGTAATCCCAGTTACTGGGGAGGCTGAGCTGGGTGAATTACTTGAGCCCGGGAGGCAGAGGCTGCGGTGAGCTGAGATCGTGCCATTGCACTCCAGCCCAGGCAACAAGAGTTAAACTCTGTCTCAAAAAAGGAAAAAAAAAAAAAAAAAGGAATGTTGTAAAATTATAGCCAACTTTACAGCAAAAATTAGGCCAGGTGCAGTGGCTCATGCTTGTCATCCCAGCACTTTGGGAGGCCGAGGCAGGCAGATCACTTGAGGTGAGGAGTTCAAGACCAGCCTGACCGACATGTCTCTACTAAAAATATAAAAACTAGCCGGACGTGGTGGCATGTGCCTATAGTCCCAGCTACTTGGGCAGCTGAGGTGGGAGAATAACTTGAACCTGGGAGGCAGAGGTTGCGGTGCACCAGGATTGTGCTACTGCGCTCCTGCCTGGGTGACAGAGTGAGACTCTGTGTCAAAAACAAACAAACAAATAAACAACTTTACAGCAGAAATTAAATAACAGCTAGAGAAAACAGCATTCAACATTGAAGGTTAATTACAATTCAAATGAGAGAATAAGAAAACAAACCCTAAAGGCCATGGTCTTAACTAAAATAAGGGGTTTAGATTGAAAGGACTGAAAGCAGGGTAAGGGTGAACTGAGGGGGGCCTGGATTCTGTGGGCGGAGATTAAATGCTAAAAGGATTTCCAGGCAGAACTTGGAGTTGGGGGTGGGTCTTGGGGTCTCCAAGCAGGGATTTACCTGGGGAGAACCGAGGTGCAGCAGGTACTCCAGGGTCTCTCTTAAGGTGCCCAGCTCCTGCTCCAGGCCACTGTATGTGTCCCAAACCCTCTCTCGCTCCTCAGGTTGCATAAAGGGGGAGACACAGGTTAGCTCCCTCTCCCACCAGATCCTTCCCTACCCCATCATTTGTCAGCTAAGGAGGAGGAAAGGGAGCTTGGTCCCTGGAGCCCTGCAGTCATATGGACTACAATTCCCATGGGCCTCTTTGCTTGGACTACTGGGAACCCCAAAGTCTGTATGGAACCTGCAATTCCAGTGCACTGCTAGTACAGACAAGTAAGAGCATTCCCTGAATACCCAGGATTACTTCTGCACCCTCCTGGGTAGCAGAGTCTACAGATCTAATGAATTCATTAGACAGTCAAAAGACCACAGCACCAGACCAGGAGTGGCGGCTCACTTCTGTAATCCCAGCACTTTGGGAGGCCAAGGCGAGCGGATCACTCGAGGTCAGGAGTTTGAGACCAGCCTGGCCAACATGGCGAAACCCTGTCTCTACCAAAAATACAAAAATTAGCCGGGAGTGGTGGCGAGGGCCTGTAGTCCCAGGTACTCAGGAGGCTGAGGCAGGAGAATCACTTGGACCAGGGAGACAGAGGTTGCAGTAAGCCTGGATCCGGGCGCTGCACTCCAGCCTGAGCAACAGAGCAAGAATCCGTCTCAAAAAAAAAAAATAATAATAACCACAGCACCCACTCACCCTGCGGCAGCAGGAACTTCCTTACCAATACCAACAATAACAATGATAATATCAGCTAACACTTATTGGGCATTGACCATGGGCTAGGCACCGTTCTCAGCTCTCTAATTCCTATGAGGTAGTTACTATTATTGTCTCCATTTTGCAGATAATAGTTATAACTGACACTTAAGTATTGCTTACCATGTGCCAAGTACCTGAAGTGTTAAATATTCATTCATTCATTCATTTACACATATCACATATAATAATTCTCAGAGTTACTTAAGGCCGGGCACAGTGTGGCTCATGCCTGTAATCCCAGCACTTTGGGAGGCTGAGGCAGGCTGATCACCTGAGGTTAGCAGTTCGAGAACAGCCTGGCCAACATGGCCAAACCCCATCTCTACTAAAAATACAAAAATAAGCCGGGTGTGGTAGCACGTGCCTGTAATCCCAGTTACTCGGGAGGCTGAGGTGGAAGAATTGCTTGAACCCGGGAGGCGGAGGTTGCAGTGAGCTGAGATGGCACTACTGCACTCCAGCCTGGACGACACAGCAAGACTCCGTCTCAAAAAAATAAAATAAAAATAATAGAGTGGTTACAAGACAATGAGAGAGAAAAATAATAAAATAAAATGTGGAGTGTAGACTTCTGAAGAACGATTTTCCTATGAGCGCTCTGCGGCAGATCCCCTTCATAACCACTTGCATAGTCCTGGGGCCTCCTAGGAGGGCGGGCCCCTTCCCAGGTGCTCACCTGAGTCAAGTGACAGAGGGTCGCCCTCACACTGACCAGCCGGTCCTGCAGGAGGCGCTGGCGACCCCAGGCCCTCCCGGGAGCCCCAGCCTCCCTGGTGGCTTGGCCCAGCTGCTGCCGGGTCAACTCCAGAGCTGCTTCTAGTTGCTCCTGCACCAAGAGAGAGGGTGGTTAGACTTCGGAAGCCATGCCTAGTCCCAAGAAAAAAGAAAAGGTATCCTCTCATGTCCCGGATATCCAGTCAGCATCCTGACTTCCACAGTCAGGAAGGGCTCAGGGCAGGCAGAGAGGCCAGGCACCCCATCCTCGGTCCAGGGCCTCGTACCTTCTCCTCCTGCCTCTGGTCTATCTCCTCCTGCAGCCTCCGCAGGAGCCGGTCCTGCCCGCACAACTTGGTCAGCAGTGTCTGGAGAAAGGAGAGCAGGAGCTACTGATGGTCCAGATCTGGCTCTTCCCCTGCCGCTCCTCCCACCATCTAGAACATTCTCTCCCCAACTCTGGGAACTCAGGAAGGATTGGATCAGTGAGAACTTACATCTGTCTCCAAGCTTTGGTGGAAAGTTGACTCCAGGGGAGGACCCGGCTGAAAAGAGGGAGAAAAGTCAGGGGTCAAAGGGGACAGGCTGGTCATTATTGTAACTCAGTGCTGAGCCACGCCCTGTTGCTACTGATAGGTGCCCCACTATTTATTTATTTATTAAGAGATAAGGTCTTGCTCTGTCACCCAGGCTGGAGTGTAGTCATGCGATCATGGTTTGCTGCAGCCTCAACCTCCTGGGCTCAAGCAGTCCTCCCACTTCAGCCTCCTGAGTAGCTGGGACCACAGGTGCACATACCATGCCCGGCTTATTTTTGTAGTTTTAAAATTGTTGTTGTTGTTGTTGTTGGTAGTGATGGGGTTTTGCCATGTTGCCCAGGCTGATCTCAAACTCCTGGGCTCAAGCAATCCTCCTGCCTCAGCCTCCCAAAGTGCTGGGATTATAGGCATGCACCATCATGCCTGGCTTTTTTGTTTGTTTGTTTTGAGGCAAGGTCTGTCACCTGGGCTGGGGTGCAGTGGCATGATCATGGCTCACTGCAGCCTTGAACTCTTACCAGCCACCAGTGCTGGCTAAGGTATTTTGTTTGCTTGTTTGTTTGTTTGTTTGTAGGGCTGGGGTCTCACTATGTCACCTAGACCAGTCTTGAACTCCTGATCTCAACTATCCTCCTGCCTTGGCCTCCCGATGTCCTGGGATTACAGGCATGAGCCACCAAGCCTAGGGACCCCTCTCCTTATCAGCTTCCTTCTAAGCATTAGCAGACTTCAGTAGACCAACTTCCAGATTCTTGGCTTCAGAAAGATCAATAATGGGCTCTTGATCAAATAGCCATGGCAAATATTATAATTAATGGAGAAGTTTAGACGTTTTATTTATGATTAAGAATAAAACAAAGGGCCAGGCGTGGTGGCTCACGCCTGTAATCCCAACACTTTGGGAGGCCGAGGCAGGTGGATCACAAGGTCAGGAGACGGAGACCATCCTGGCTAATGTGGGGAAAAGAGAGATCAGACTGTTACTGTGTCTACATAGAAAGTAGACATAAGAGACTCCATTTTGTTCTATATTTGAGATGCTGTTAATCTGTCACCCTACCCCCAACCTTGTCCTTGCAAGAGACATGTGCTGTGGTGACTCAAGGTTTAACGGATTTTGGGCTGTGCAGGGTGTGCTTTGTTAAACAAGTGCCTGAAGGCAGTATGCTTGTGAAAAGTCATCACCATTCTCTTAATCTCAAGTACCCAGGGACACGTACACTGCCAAGGTCGCAAGGACCTCTGCCTAGGAAAGCTAGGTATTGTCCAAGGTTTCTCCCCATGTGATAGTCTGAAATATGGCCTTGTGGGAAGGGAAAGACCTGATCGTCCCCCAGCCTGACACCCGTGAAGGGTCTGTGCTGAGGAGGACTAGTATAAGAGGAAAGAAGGCCTCTTGGCAATTGAGATAGAGAAAAGCATCTGTCTCCTGCCCGTCCCTGGGCAATGGAACATCTCGGTGTAAAACCCAATTGTATGTTCTGTTTACTGAGATGGGAGAAAACCGCCTTAGGGCGAAAGGTGGGACTTGCTAGCACAATGCTGCTCTTTAAGCACTAAAAACGTTTATGGAGATGTTTACATATGCATATCAAGGCACAACACTTTTCCTTAAACTTATGTCACAGAGATCTTAATTCATATGTCTTACTGCTGACTTTCTCCCTACGATGATCCTATTATCCTGCCACTTCCCTTTTTCTAAGATGGTAAAGATAATTATCAATAAATACTAAGGGAACTCAGAGACCGGTACCGGCGTGGGTCCTCTGTATGCTGAGCGCCGGTCCCCTGGGCCTGCTTTTTCTTTCTCTATACTTTGTCTCTGTGTCTCATTTCTTTTCTCAAGTCTCTCGTTCCACCTAACGAGAAACGTCCACAGGTGTGGAGGGGCAGGCCACCCCTTCAGCTAACACGGTGAAACCCGTCTCCACCGAAAAATACAAAAAATTAGCCGGGCGAGGTGGTGGGCACCTGTAGTCCCAGCTACTCAGGAGGCTGAGGCAGGAGAATGGCGTGAACCCGGGAGGCGGAGCTTGCAGTGAGCCGAGATCGCGCCACTGCACTCCAGCCTGCGCGACAGAGCGAGACTCTGTCTCCAAAAAAAAAAGAATAAAACAAAGTGCAGGGCACAGTGACTCACTCCTGTAATCCCAAAGCTTTGGGGGGCCAAAGAGGAAAGATCACTCAAGCCCAGGAGTCTAAGATCAGTCTGGATAACATAGGGAGACCTTCTCTCTGCAAAAAAAAACACAAAAATTTAAGAATAGGGACGGGTTTGGTGGCTCATGCCTGTAATCCCAACATTTTGGGAGGCCGAGGCAGGCGGATCACCTGAGGTCAGGAGTTCAAGACCAGCCTGACTAACACGGTGAAACCCTGTCTCTACTAAAAATACAAAATTTAGTAGGACATAGTGGTGAGCGCCTGTAATCCCAGCTACTTGGGAGACTGAGGCAGGAGAATCACTTGAACCCAGGAGAAGGAGGTTGCAGTGAGCTGAGATCACGCCATTGTACTCCAGCCTGGGTGACAGAGCAAGATTTTGTCTGAAATGAATAAATAAATAAATAAGTAAATAAGCTGAGCACGCTGGTACACGCCTGTAGCCTCAGCAACTGGGGAGGCTGAGGTGGGAGTATCACTTGGGCCCAGGAGGCTAAGGCTGCAGTGAGCCGTGATTGCACCACTGCACTCCAGCCTGGGTGACAGTGTGAGACTCTGTCTCAAAAAAAAAAGAAAAAGAAAGAAAGAGAGAGAGAGGCCGGGCACGGTGACTCACACCTGTAATCCCAGCACTTGCCGAGGAGGGTGGATCATGAGGTCAGGAGATTGAGACCATCCTGGCTAACATGGTGAAACCCCGTCTCTACTAAAAATACAAAAATTAGCTGTGTGTGGTGGCGCATGCCTGTAATCCCAGCTACTCAGGAGGCTGAGGCAGGAGAATCGTTTGAACCCAGGAGGCAGAGGTTGCAGTGAGCTGAGATTGTGCCTCTGCACTCCAGCCTCACGACAGAGTGAGACTCCATCTCAAAAAAAAAAAAAAAAAGAAAGAAAGAAAAGAAAGAGAGAAAGATGGAGGGAGGAAGGAAGGAAAAGAGAGAGAGAAAGAAGGGAAAGAAAGGAAGAAGGAAGGAAGGGAGGGAGGGAGGGGGAGGGGGAGAGAGAGAGAGAGAAAGAAAGAAAGAAAGAAAGAAAGAAAGAAAGAAAGAAAGAAAGAAAAGAGAGAGAAAGAAGGGAAAGAAAGGAAGAAGGAAGGGAAGGAGGGAGGGAGGGGGAGGGAGAGGAGAGAGAGAGAAAGAAAGTTGTTGTTGTTGTTGTTGTTGTTGTTGTTAGAAAGAAAGAAAGAAAGAAAGAAAGAAAGAAAGAAAGAAAGAAAGAAAGAGAAAGGAAGGAAGGAAGATGGAGGGCGGGAGGAAGGAAGGAAAAGAAAGACAGAGAGAGAAAGAAAGGAAGAAGGAAAGAAGGAAAGAAGGAAGGAAAAGAGAAAGAAGATAGATGGATGGTGGGAGGAAGGAAGGAAAAGAGAGAGAGAAAGAAAGAGAAAGAAGGGAAAGAAAGGAAGAAAGAAGGAAGCAAGGAAGGAAAAGAGAAAGAAAGAAAGGGAGAGAAAGAGAGAATGAAAGAGGTTTTTGCGGATGTAAATTAAGTTACAATGATGTCATAGGGGTGTCCTAATAGGAGGAGACGGACAGCAACAAAAACACAAAGGAAGATCGCCATGGGATGATGGAGGCAAAGATGTAGCCACAGAAAAAGCCACAGAACCCCAGGAATTGCTGGCAACCACCTGAAGCTAAGAGAGACTCAATAAAAGCTCCTCCCTAGAGCCATCAGCAGGAGTATAGCCCTGCTGATTCCTTGACTCCAGGCCTCTGGCCTCCAGAACCGGAAGAGAATCCATTCCTGTTGTTTTCAGCCATGCACTTTGTTACAGCAACCACAGGAATCTAATACCTACCCAGGGGCTTTGAAATGTCTACGGTTCTCTAGGCACCCTAGGCCAGGAGATGACATTCCTCATAGAGAAGAAAGGAAAGGAGGGGGCTCCGGTATATTCGGGGTACTCCAGGATACCTACCAATAAAACCATGGAGGCCCGGGTCCCAGGGGGCCGCGGGGGGAGCTGGAGATAAGTGGAGGAGCCTGAGGGTGCCTGGGAGGAATGTTGAAATGGAGATGTTTAGAAATCGGCATGTCAGTGACAAATAGTAGAGTGGGCGTGTCCATAATTGAATTGCTTTAGGAGATATTTTGAGGTTCAGAACTGGGCCCTCTCAACTTCCTCAACGACCTGCTCTCCAGCTGTGTGCCACTGTGGGGACACAGAGGGTGATAATAAATGCACCAGCCTGGCAAAACAGCCCCACAGGATGACGGAATTTGCTGCTCTCACTCTCAGACTTGCAGTCAGCTATGGATATTCTGAGCTACAGTCCCATTATGCTCAGACAAAACAGCAGGTAACCAACTTGCAAGGTGAACTGGGGACACAAGGGAGATGCAACCCTCTCACTGCACTGTATTGGCACGGAGTATCCAGGACTACAATCCCCATGATGCTTAAAGAGCAATGGCTGGGCCAGGCGCGGCCCATGCCTGTAATCCTAGTACTTTGGGAGGCTGAGGTGGGCGGATCACCTGAAGTCAGGAGTTCGAGACCAGCTTGGTCAACATGAGGAAACCTCGTCTCTACCAAAAATACAAAAATCAGCCGGATGTGGTGGCAGATGCCTGTAATCCCAGCTACTTGGGAGGCTGAGGCAGGAGAATCGCTTGAACCCGGGAGGCAGAGGTTGTAGTGAATCGAGATCGTGCCACAGACTTCTAATCTTGGCGACAGAGCAAGACTCCATCTCAAAGAAAAAAAAAAAAGCAATGGCCGCAGAACAGCCTAGAAAGACAGCCCAGGTGCCTGATAGGTAATAGGGTTCAAGCTCTCACCTGAGCCCAGCTGAGATCATTACAGACTACAATACCCATGACACCCAGGGAGCAACGGCCTTGAGAATATGGAAAGACAGCCCTGAGGCCTTATGGGAGATGTAGTCCCCTCCTTCTCACCTCTCTGCTCACCTGTGTTCTGTGCTCCTGACTCCAGTGCTGGGGACTCCTGGGGGGCTTTCCTCCCCCAGCTTCAGAGGGAGGTCCTCGGCGGGGAGTGGGGGGTCGGGAGAGGGTCTGGCGTTGGGGGCCCCAATCCAGAGGAGGTCGGACATCAATGCGACTCAGCGGGGTGTGAGGTCGGGCAGGGGGTGCTGTGTCTCCTGAGGGGGCAGGGGGTCGCCGCGCAGGAGCAGAACGGGGACGGGGGAGGCTCAGAGGCGAGGGAGGGCGAGAGAGGGGGGTGAACAGGCTGTGGGAAGGAGAGAATCGGGGAACTGAGTCAACTAGAGCCCTTTCCATCCACCTCCTTACCCATCAAGTCAGCCTCAAGTACATGTCCCACTTCACTGTGTCTTACTGTCCTTCTGGGTTAGAATCCTCCTCTACTGTCCAAATTCTCAGTAATGTCCGCTTTGTGGCATCTTCCCCTCCAGTCCTCCCCCACAGGCTGTGACCACCCTCACAGGAGCCCCAGCAAGTCACACACAGTCAGGCAGAAAGCTCTAAGGCCCGCCCCCAACCAGTTTCCGGCCCCGCCCTTCATTTAGGCCACGCCCCCACCTGTGTCCTCCCTACTCACTCGGGGCTCCTCGCCCTCCGGATCTGGAGTCCAGACTGGAGGTCAATTGTGGGGCTGGGAGTGAGCAGCCTGGGTCTACCCCGACCTCTGGAGAGTCGAGCCACTTCCGGTGATTCCGAGATGCGCCCCTCTTCCCCGCTGCTCACCTCCGGGGGACCACCTGGGCCGCCAGGGCCCTCCCCGGGCTGGGGTCGTGCGGGTGACCTGGTTTGCCCACTAGCGAGTGGACACAGGTAAGATATCACTCCTTCGAACTTCATAACAGCCCTATTCTCTTGTCACAGGTAAGAACACAAGGATGCACCCAAAAAAGGAAAGCTGTGCACTATAAATCATCGTCCCCTTCTTCAGACGCGGAAACTGAGGCCTCCAATGTGGAACTGACCTGTGCGCCAGGCCACAACGTCTGTCCAGGTTGCTGGACCCAATGCCCCGGAATATGGGATAGACTCAGGCAGGTAGTCCAGTTTCCAGCCTGATAATTGGCGCAAGCCATGTCAGAGCTTAAGATAATCTGACATTTTTTTAAAAACCTGACGCTATCTTTTACCTGCCATTGTTTAGGTGGCAGCTCAGGGGACTTCAGAAGGAGCCAATCCGAGAGTGTGGAACATTGATCATTCCTGGGGCAGAGCAGAGTGCGTGATTGAACGGTCAGCTGGGGGGCGGGGACGGACAAGGTGGTGGGCGGAGCTTAAGGGAGAAAGACTTTTGCTGATTGGAAAAGTTCCCTGGAGGTGGGGCCTAGAAGACGAGGCGCCTAACTAGAAGACTAGTGATTGGACACTCAAGGGGGCAGGGCCCCAAAGGGGAGAAGTTGCGGTGATTGGACTGACTCAGGCTGGAGGGTCAGGAGCACGGCTTGGACCTCTACTCACCCATCGTCCCCCTCCGCACGGGAGGCCCGGCCCAGCGCTCGTAGCCAGCCCCGCAGGTCTTCTAAGGTGTCAGCGGCCAAAACGTAGGTCCTCATGCCCGGGTGCTCTGCCTGCGGGAAGAGAAGGCTTGGAATCCGGACTCCCGGGCCTTGTAAAAAGGAGGACAGGCCGGGCTGGCGGCTCACTCCCGTAAGCCCAGTGCTTTGGGAGGCCGATGCGGGAGGATCGTTTGAGACCAGCCTGGGCAACATAATGAGACCCCCCCACCCGCCACCTCCTTCCGACCCTGTCTCTACAAAAAAAATCAAAAAATTAGCCGGACGTTGTGGAGCGCACCTGTAGTCCCAGCTACCCGGGAGACTGAGGCGGGAAGACTGTACTTTGCGTCACTGCACGCCAGCCTGGATGACAGAGCAAGATCGTCAAGAAAGAAAGGAAAGAGAGAAAGAGGGAAGGGAAGGGAAGGGAGAGAAAGAAAGAGAGAGAGAGAAAAAAAGAGAGAAAGAAAGAGAGAGAGAAAAAAAGAAAAGAAAAGAAAAGAGAGAAAAGAACTGGCCAGGCGTGGTGGCTCACACCTGTAATCCCAGCATTTTGGGAGGCTGAGGTGGGCGGATCAACTGAGGTCAAGAGTTTGAGACCAGCCTGGCCAGCATGGTGAAACCCCATCTCTACTAAAAATACAAAAAAATTAGCCGGGCATGGTGGCGTGCACCTGTAATTCCAGCTACTCCAGAGGCTGAGGCCGGAGAATCCCTTGAACCCAGGAGGCGGAGGTCGCAGTGAGCCGAGATCGCACCACTGCACTCCAGCCTGGGTGACAGAGTGAGACTGTCTCAAAAAACAACAAAACAGGCCGGGCGCGGTGGCTCAAGCCTGTAATCCCAGCACTTAGGGAGGCCGAGACGGGCGGATCACGAGGTCAGGAGATCGAGACCATCCTGGCTAACACGGTGAAACCCCGTCTCTACTAAAAATACAAAAAACTAGCCGGGCGAGGTGGCGGGCGCCTGTAGTCCCAGCTACTCCGGAGGCTGAGGCAGGAGAATGGCGTGAACCCGGGAGGCGGAGCTTGCAGTGAGCTGAGATCCGGCCACTGCACTCCAGCCCGGGCTACAGAGCAAGACTCCGTCTCAAAAAAAAAAAAAAAAAAAAAACAACAACAAAACAAAAAAACAAACCAAAACAAAATCAAAGGAGGATGCAATTGACGCTTGTCAAGACCTTTTATCTCCAGTGATGGACACTCCAGTGCTTGTTAGGACTTGGAGTTTCCTCAGCAGATATCTACCCGCCCTCATCTCCGGTTCCCATTGCCTGGTGCACAACACGGATGGACGGACTCACGGTGAAGGTGAAGCGCCGCCCTCGGGGGGCTCCCGGCCCATCTGGCCTAATATTGTAGCTGGGGAGCAGGACACTGCCCAGGACACTCTCCTCGCGGCTGTCTGCAAAGAGGGGCTGGGGTCAAGGATCACACAGGGATCAGGAGGCCAAGACGCTAGAGAGAAGGGCAGGTGGGGGGGCCCTCCCACCCCAAGCCAGCCAGCCACTGACCCTTGTAATAAAAGAGGCAATGGCCGGAGAGGACGAACCAGCGGCGTTTCCAGAGACGGAGCCCCGAGCTGTCCTGGGGAGAGAGATGGGAGGAGGGGCCTGAGTAAAGGGAAACAGAAAAAAGAGATGAAGGCAGTGACGATGGGGACAGAGAGCCAGAGAGAGAAAGAAATTTGGAGAGAGGAAAACAGAGACATAGAGTAGGGATCAAGGGAGTGGGGTGAGGCTGGGCACAATGGCTCACGCCTGTAATCCCAGCACTTTGAGAGGCCAAGGCGGGCGGATCACTTGATTCCAGGAGTTTAAGACCAGCTTGGGTAACATGGTAAAACCCCGTCTCTTACTAAAAAAACAAAAATTAGCCGGATGTTGTGGCGCATGCCTGTAGTCCCAGCTACTCAGGAGGCTGAGGAGGGAGGATCATGTGAGCCTGGGAGTGGGGTGGAGGCACAGGAGAAAGACCCAGAGAGAGAGAAGAGACAGAGACACACGTTTGGGGCGATGGAGTGGATAAGAAGGAGAGCTGGAAACCCTCTGAACATAATAGAATAGAAGCCCTACTTCTATTATAAGTGTGGTGGCTGTGCTGACATAGATTCCGGACTCCCCTGCTTTCTTTTCTTTTCTCTCTCTCTCTCTCTCTCTTTTTTTTTTTTTTTTTTTTTTTTTTTGAGACGGAGTCTTGCTCCATAGCCCAGGTTGGACTGCAGTGGCCGGATCTCAGCTCACTGCAAGCTCCGCCTCCCGGGTTTATGCCATTCTCCTGCCTCAGCCTCCGGAGTAGCTGGGACTACAGGCGCCCGCCACCTCGCCCGGCTAGTTTTTTTGTATTTTTTAGTAGAGACGGGGTTTCACCGTGTTAGCCAGGATGGTCTCGATCTCCTGACCTCGTGATCCGCCCGTCTCGGCCTCCCAAAGTGGTGAGACCGGGGTTTCACCGTGTTAGCCAGGATGGTCTCGATCTCCTGGATCTTGATCCGCCTGGGTCTCAGCCTCCCCAAAGCAGGTTTTTTTTTTTTTTTTTTTTTTAAGACAGAGTCTTGCTCTGTAGCTCAAGCTGGAGTGCAGTGGCGTGATCTCGGCTCATGGCAACCTCCGCCTCCCAGGTTCAAATGATTCTCCTGCCTCAGCCTCCCAAGTAGCTGAGATTACACCACACCCAGCTAATTTTTGTACTTTTAGTATAAACAGGATTTCACTATGTTGACCAGGCTGGTCTTGGACTCCTGACCTCAAATGATCTACCCACCTCGGCCTCCCAAAGTGCTGGGATTACAGGCATGAGCCACTGCGTCTGGCCTCCCCCACTTTCAAACTATGCTCTGGAACAAGTCACTTCCCCCTAGAATCCACCCTCATGTTTTCTCGTCTATCCGTTGGAGATTCAGAAGTTTTAGGGAGCTGTGGATGAGACATGGATCATATATAGGCAGAGACTTTAGCTACAGAGACTTAGTCCAATTATTCTGGAGACTGAGATACAGACAGGCCAGGAAGGTGGCACTGAGCCATGACCCGAATTCAGCATCTCCACATCGCCTCTGCCTGAACTACTCCACTATCTCCGACCTCGTGTGCCTCTTCTCCTCAACCCATTCCCATAGAAGCCCGCATGATCTTTTAAAATTACACATCAGATCACGTTAGTCCCCTTTTCAAAACAGAGAATTAAGAACACTTAGAATTAAGTCTCAAATTCCTTTCCATCACTTACTGTTTTTTGTTTGTTTGTTTGTTTGTTTTTGAGATGGAGTCTCGCTCTGTCACCCAGGCTGGAGTGCAATGGCACAATCTCGGCTGACTGCAATCTCCGCCTCCCCAGTTCAAGCGATTCTCCCGGCTCAGCCTCCTGAGGAGCTGGGACTGCAGGTGCCCGCCACGATGCTGGATAATTTAGGTTGTTTTTATTTTTATTTTTTATTTTTATTTTTATTTTTTATCTTTTGAGACGGAGTCTTCGCTTTGTTGCCCAGGCTGGAGTGCTGTAGCGCGATCTCGGCTAACTGCAAGCTCCGCCTCCCGGGTTCACGCCATTCTCCTGCCTCAGCCTCCCGAGTAGCTGGGACTTGTCGCCAAGGCTGGCATGCAGTGACATGAACACAGTTCACTGCAGCCTCACCTTCCTGGGCTTCAGCAATCCTACTGCCTTAGCCTCCCCAGTAGCTGGGACTATAGGCGCACACCACCACACTCAGCTAGGTTTTTTTTGTTTGTTTTGTGTGTGTGTGTGTGTGTGTGTGTGTATTTTTTGTAGAGATGAGGTTTCTTCATGTTGCCCAGGCTGGTCTAGAACTCCTAAGCTCAAGCGATCTTCCCACCTTGGCCTCCCAAAATGCTGGGGTTACGCCACTGAACCTGGCCTCTATGTTACTTCTTCATAGCCCTTCCTGCAATCTGAAATGATCAAGTTCATTTATTTATTTACTAATTTATTATCCACCCATGTTCCACCTGATCTGGAATGTACTATAAATACTTGTTTGTGTTATTTGCATGGTGTGTGCCCTGGGATTGAGAACACTGTAAGCGTTCAAGAAGTACTCAAGAAAGAATGAACGAATGGGCCAGGCGTGGTGGCTCACGCCTCTAATCCCAGCATTTTAGGGAGCTGAGGCGGGCGGATCACTTGAGGTCAGGAGTTTGAGACCACCCTGGCCAACATGGTAAAACCCCATCTCTACCGAAAATACAAATATTAGCTAGGCATGGTGGCGCATGCCTGTAAGCCCAGCTACTCAGGAGGCTGAGGCATGAGAATCACTTGAACTGGAGGCCAGAGGTTGCACTGAGCCAAGATTACACTATTGCCCTCCAGCCTGGGCAACAGAAAGAGACTGTCTTAAAAATAAACAAACAAACAAACAATGACAGAATAAGGGGAGGGGCAGTGATAGTAAGAAAAAGAAAGCCTATTTGGGGACTTGGAAGGTGAGAGACAGAGGACAGCCAAGGGCACAGACTCCAGTGTCCTTTTCCTTCTCCTACTGACCCCACCTGCTTATGAAGCCAGCCTCGGATGTGCACGGGAAGGTTGGGATCCCTCCTGAGCGCATTGCCTCTCTTCCCAAAGGCATGGACCTTGTTTACTGCCCGGGTGGGCTTCTGAGGAGAGAAGGGGACAGAAGTGAACAGGGAGAGCCTAGGATGGTCCCGGGATGGGGTGAGGGTGGACACAGGCAACCGTAGGCTCTCGCTTGGCTGCCCTGAGAAATGGGTCAAGGACCAGCCAGGCGCAGTGGCTCACGCCTGTAATCCCAGCACTTTGAGGGGCTGAGGTAGGAGGATCACATGAGGCCAGGAGTTCGAGACCAGCCTGACCAACATGGTGAAACCCCGTTTCTACTAAAAATATGAAAATTAGCCAGGCACGGTGGCGTGTGCTCGTAGTCCCAGCTACTCGGGAGGCCGAGGTACAAGAATCTCTTGAACACAGGAAGCAGAGGTTGCACTGAGCTAAGATTGTTCCACTGTACTCCAGCCTTCGTGACAGAGTAAGACTCTGTCTTTAAAAAAAAAAAAAGTAAGTCCGGGCACAGTGGCTCACGTCTGTAATCCCAACACATTGGGAGGCTGAGACGGGCAGATCACGAGGTCAGGAGATCGAGTCCATCCTGGCTAACACGGTGAAACCCCATCTCTACTAAAAATACAAAAAAGTTAGCCCGGTGTGGTGGTGGGCGCCTGTAGCCCCAGCTAATCGGGAGGCTGAGGCAGGAGAATGGCGTGAACCCGGGAGGCGGAGCTTGCAGCGAGTGGAGATCATGCTACTGCACTCCAGCCTGGGCGACAGAGCGAGACTCCGTCTCAAAAAAAAAAAAAAGAAAAGAAAGAAAGAGAAGGGTCAAGGTGGGGGCTGAGGGTGGAGATCAGAATTGGGAAGTGTTCTTATTGCAGAGTTAAGAGACTTTTTTTTTTTTTTGAGACAGCCTCTTTGGAGTGCAGTGGCCTAAACACTGCAACCTTTACCTCCTGGACTCAGGTGATCCTCCAGCCTCAGCCTCCCATATAGCTGGGACCACAGGCACGTACCACCACACCCAGCTAATTTTTTGACTTTTTGTAGAGGAGGGGGTCTCACTTTGTTGCCCAGACTGGGACAAACTCTTTTTTTTTTTTTCCTTTTGAGGCAGAGTCTCGCTCTGTCACCAGGCTGGAGTGCAATGGTGCAATCTTGGCTCACTGCAACCTCCACCTCTCAGGTTCAAGTGATTATCCTGCCTCAGCCTCCCGAGTAGCTGAGATTACAGGCACGTGCCACCACGCCTGGCTAATTTTTGTATTTTTACTAGAGACAGGGTTTTGCCATGTTGGTCAGGCTGGTCTTGAACTCCTGACCTCAGGTGATCCACCCCCCTCAGACTCTTAAAGTGCTGGGATTACAGGTATGAGCCACTGCGTTGGGCCGAGATTCTCTTTTTGATGGGCGGAGGGAGGTGTTCAGAGGCAAGGAAGAGGCGGTAGGGAAGTAATTTCTTGATCAAGGGTCCACTGCCAAGAAGCAGATGCCCTTGGCCACCAGAGCTAGAGCTGTAGTAGGGGCTTTTGGGATCTGAACTGGGACTATGGGCTGCAAGGTCCCCATAATCAGGGGGAACTCTCACGCTGAGTCCCCGGTGAACCAAAGGATGCCCTGGTGCCCTGCGGTCACACCCCTTAGCAACCAAGTCCAAGGAGAGGAAGCCTCAAATCCCTCCATCCTGCCCGGATGGAGCCTCGTCTCCCGATGCCCACAGATATCTCAAGCATCCTTAGCCAGGTCCCCACAATATGCCCTTCCTGGGAAGCGGTGGTACCGACCAAGGCTGCGTCAGATCTCTGGGCTCCGAACACAGGAAAGGACATGTGTGAAACGGCAGGAGGAAAAAGAAATGAGTGTCTCCCTAAGCTTTTGGCCGGGATGCCGATTTGGGATGCAAGTATCTGGGGGCCCCTTGGGTCTTACTGTCAGAGAAGGGTCTTTCCTTATAGGATTTCATTAGTGGATAGACTGGATGGCAAGAGATAGGACAGCAAGTTCTAGCACTGATCAAGAGCAGCCCGCTACTTCTGAGAACTCGAGGGGCCTCATGGCTGGGGAGCGGCTTTATCTTAGCAACCAGGGTCAAGGGAGGTTGTTACTCTGGTTTAGAATTAGGAAAATACAAAGGGTGGGGACAGAGCTGGGAGTGCCTCTGAATTCCTAGCTGTGACTGGTAGGCAATTTGGGACCTTACTATGTCTGGCAGACCCCGTTGCTAAGGATCCTTGTCCTTAACAACCAGAGTCCTTGGGGAAACAGAGGGATGGGCGGCCCAGAACCCCACCTTCCTCCCCATCCCCGCCAGGAAGCTCAAACCTTGGGGCTCAGGCTGCTGAGTGAGGAGATGGTGGAGGCGCTGCTGGCCAGGCTCAGGCTGCTGCGAGGTCGGCTCCCCTCCATCAAGGACTGGGGAGAGAAAGAAAGGGGCTGTGTCTCCGCAGTGACGGGTGCAGGACAGAGATGGGGTCAGGGGCTTGGAGGTCTGAGGAGGCTGCAGAGAAAGAGCCTGTTGTTTCGGGACTGAGGGGCTGGGGGAGGCCATGGCCCGTGACCACATACCAAGAGTGGTGCCAAGAGAGGTAGGCGGCCCTGGCAGCTGTGGGAGGGGGCAGCTGTCTGCAGCCCAGGCCAGAGAATAGGGAATCCTTTATTCCTCCCCTCTGCACTCAGGCCAGGAATTTGACCCTCTCTGAGCTTAAGGACCCCCCATGCCCTGCCTCCTTCCGGCTGCCCCAGGCTACCTGTCTCCTGCCCTCCCACACGCACCCCCAAAGCATCCCTGCCAACTCCCCAAGCCAAGCCCTGCAGCAGCAGGAATGTGCACCCAGAGAGCCCCTCCCAGCCCAGCCAGGGAACTTACCCAGCTCTAGGATCCCAGTGACAGGGGGCAAGAGGACGGTGTGGGTGCTGCAGCAGCACCCAGGCAGTCTCCTGCCTCCTTTGTCTCTTAGCTGCTGTCTCTCATAGTTCTCAATCTCTCTCCTCACCTGCTCACTTTTTGTCTCTTTGTCTCCTGTCTCTTATGCTCTCTCTCTCTCTCTCCGTTTTACACTATCTCTCTCCCCAGTCTCACTTTCTGTGTCTCTCCTCTCTCTGATCTCTATCTCCTCCAGTCTCTCTCTCACTCATTCTCTCCCTCTATCTCTCTCTCCAATCTTTCTGTTTTTGTCCAAATCTTTGATTGACAGACTCACAGGGTCTCTTCTTTAAGTCTCTATCTCATTCACGTGTCCTCTCTCCTTCACACTCAGTCTCTTCCTCTTTCTGTCTCTGTCTCTGACTCTCCACGTCGGCCGTTTCCTCCCCTTTCTCTTTCCAATTTCCCTTCTCACTGTCTCCCTTCCTCCCTCTCCCAGTTTCTCTTTCCTCTCTGCTGGTCTTTCCCTGCCTCTGCCAGCCGCCCACGCTGCTGTTCTCCCCTCCCAATCCCAGCTGTCCCCGCCCCTTCTGGCCTCCCCACTACAGCCTGACCCCTGGCTCAGCTGCCCCCACAGCTGAGGGGAGGGGCTTGGGTCCCCCAATTCCTAGGTCCCCTGAGGACCAAGGTTGGGGCTTCTCAGTGTTTGGAGAGTTGGACCTGAGGCCTGCACTCCAGAGCCCCTGTGGGTTTGCTGCTGTGGTTGGGGGCCTGGGCCACTGGTGTCCTACACGGAGGAGGTTTGTGTCTTGCAAGGGGTGGGCACTCAGACTTCCAAAGCCCTGGAGGGAATGGGTTAGGGATCCAGACTCCTGGGTGCCCCAGAAGGCCTGAGCTAGGAGTCAGGACTCCTGAGTCGTGAATGAGCTGGGGGTCTGGAAACACGGCTGTGATTGGAAGGGGCCAGGGATGGTCTGTCCAGGTCCCCTAGGGAGAAAAGGGGATGGTCCCAGTAGGGCAGGGTGAAATGGAGAGTTCCAAACCTCCACCTCAGATCCAGGTGGGAATTCTCTTCTAGACTTGAGGACAACTCCCTCGAGAGAGACATGGTTCCTTGGTATATTCTGAGGAACAAGATTATGCATCCGTAGGTAGGGGAGGAGAGCTGGGGGCTGGAACTGTCACCCCGGGCCTGGAACTTGTAGCAGAAGCGCCCCCACTCGCATGAAGAGTGCCACCCAGGCAGACTTGCGGTTTGTGGAGGCAGAGCTATTGCCTAAGTCTGAAGCAGATGAAACCCAGGAGTGGAGCCTTGTGCCTGTGACCGGGAAGGAATCCAAGCTTTTGGTTTAACCACCATTCACCATGCATCTGTTGAGCACCTACTATGTGCAGGCACTGTCTGTTGCAGTCACTGAGAAGAAAGCAGTGAACCCTGGCCGGGCGCAATGGCTCATGCCTGTAATCCCAGCACTTTGGGAGATCAAGGCAGGAGGATCACTTGAGACCAGGAGCTCAAGACCAGCCTGGGCATCATAGCGAGATCCTGTCTCTATTTAGAAAATGAATTTTTTTTTTTTTTGAGACAGAGTCTCGCTCTGTTGCCAGGCTGGAGTGCAGTGGCACGATCTCGGCTCACTACAACCTCCGCCACCTGGGTTCAAGTGATTCTCCTGCCTCAGCCTCCTGAGTAGCTGGGACTACAGGCACGTGTGACCACGCCCAACTCATTTTTTTTTTCTTTTGAGACTGAGTCTTGCTCTGTTGCCCAGGCTGGAGTGCAGTGGATTCACACCATTCTCCTGCCTCAGCCACCCGAGTAGCTGGGACTACAGGCGCCCGCCACCACGCCCAGCTAATTTTTTATTTTTGCATTTTCAGTAGAGACAGAGTTTCACCGGGTTAGCCAAGATGGTCTCGATCTCCTGACCCTGTGATCCGCCTGCCTCAGCCTCCCAAAGTGCTGGGATTACAGGCATGAGCCACTGCATCCGGCCTAATTTTTCTATTTTTAGTAGACACAGGGTTTTACCATGCTGGCCAGGATGGTCTCAATCTCGACCTCATGATCTGCCCGCCTCAGCTTCCCAAAGTGCTGGGATTACAGGCGTGAGCCACCACACCTGGCCTAAATTAATTATTATTTTTTTAAAAGCACTGAGCCTAGCAAAGTGCCTGATCTCATAGTGCTTACATCTTCATTCTCATTTGCAAGGAATCTGGACTCTGCTGTGACTATCTTAGTCAAGTGGTTTCATTTTCAAGCCTGTTTCCCCATTTGTGAAATGGGAACAATGACACCCTCGTACTCGGGGAGGAAACCAACTGCGTGTGAAAATAGGAGACTCTAGCTGTGCATGGTGGCGAGCTCCTGTACTCCCAACGACTCGGGAGGCTCAGGCAGGAGAATTGCTTGAACCCGGGAGGTGGAGGTTGCAATGAGCCAAGATCACACCATTGCACTCCTGCCTGGGTGACACAGCCAGACACCGTCTCGAAAAAAAGAAAGAGAGAGAGAGAAAGAGAGAGAGAAAGAGAGAAAGGAAGGAAGGAGGGAGGGAAAGAAAGAGAGAGAGAGAGAGAGAGAGAGAGAGAGAGAGAAAGAGAAAGAGAGAGAGAAAGAGAGAAAGGAAGGAAGGAGGGAGGGAAAGAAAGAGAGAGAGAGAGAGAGAGAGAGAAAGAAAGGAAGGAAGGGAAGGAAGGAAGGAAGTAGGAAGGAAGGAGTCAGCTGAAGAAGGAAGGAAGGAAGGAAGGAAGGAAGGAAGGAAGGGAGGGAGGGAGGGAGGGGAGGGAGGGAGGGAGGGAGGGAGGGAGGGAGGGAGGGAGGGAGGGAAAGAAAGAAAGGGAGGAAAGAAGAAAGAAAGAAAATGGGAGGCTGTAGGCTGGGCCTTTGGGCTAAATTGGGGTAGGAGACCGGGTACAGTGGATCATGCTTGTAATTCCAGCACTTTGGGAAGCCAAGGCAGGCAGATCACCTGAGGTCAGGAGTTCAAGAACAGCCTGGTCAACGTGGCAAAACACTGTCTCTACTAAAAATACAAAAATTACCTGGGCATTGCGGCACACTCCTGTAATCCCAGCTATTCCAGAGGCTGAGGCAGGAGAATCACTGGAACCCGGGAGATGGAGGCTGCAGTTGAGCCGAGATGGCACCACTGAACTCCAGCCTGGGCAACAAAGTGAGACTCTGTCTCAAAAAATAAATAAATAGGTCGGGTGCGGTGGCTCACGCCTATAATCCTAACACTTTGAGAGGCCATGGTGGGCAGATTGCCTGAGCTCAGGAGTTCAAGACCAGCCTGGGCAACATGGCGAAACCCTGTCTGTATACAAAAAATTAGCCAGGTGTGGTAGTGCATGCCTGTAATCCCAGCTACTCAGAGGCTGAGGCAGGAGAATTGCTTGAACCCGGGAGATGGAGGTTGCAGTGAGCCGATCACGCCATTGCATTCCAGCCTCAGTGACAGAGCGAGACTCCGTCTCAAAAAAATAAATAAATAAATAACAGGCCGAGTGAGGTGGCTCACGCCTGTAATCCCAGCACTTTGGGAGGCCGAGGCGGGCGGATCACAAGGTCAGGAGATTGAGACCATCCTGGCTAACACGGTGAAACCCCGCTTCTACTAAAAATACAAAAAGTTAGCCGGGCATGGTAGCAGGGGCCTGTAGTCCCAGCTACTCGGGAGGCTGAGGCAAGAGAATGGCGTGAACCCAGGAGGCAGAGCTTGTAGTGAGCCAAGATCGGGCCACTGCACTCCAGCCTGGGCGACAGAGCGAGACCCCGTCTCAAAATAATAATAAAAATAAAATAAATAAATACATAGACCTGGAGTGGTGGCTCACGCCTCTAATCCCAGCACTTTGGGAGGCCGAGGCAGGCAGAACACCTGAGGTAAGGAGTTCGAGACCAGCCTGGCAAACATGGTGAAATCCCGTCTCAGAAAAATACATAAATAAATAATAAATAAATAAATAAACAGGCCGGACGCGGTGACTCACGCCTGTAATCCCAGCACTTTGGGAGGCCAAGGTGGGCAGATCCCCTGAGGTCAGGAATTTCAGACCTGCCTGACCAACATGGAGAAGCTACGTCTCTGCTCAAAAATTACAAAATTAGCCGTGCGTGGTGGCACATGCCTGTAATCCCAGCTACTCGGGATGCTGAGGCAGGAGATTGAACCCCGGAGGCAGAGGTTGCGGTGAGCCGAGATAGCGTCATTGCATTCCAGCCTGAGCAACAAGAGCAAAACTCGCCTCAAAATAACTAACGAACCTAAATAAATAAATAAGTAAATAAATACATAAATACACAAATAAATAAATTTGGGTGGGAAGGCATTGGCCCTCAGCTAAGAGAGAACTGGCTCGCTGCTGAAGCAGGACCACGCATTTGATTGACAGTTCGCTTTTTGGGGGGGCGTGGTCACGCTCGGAAACTCCGCCGTGACGTTACAAAGGCTGGAATCTCCGCGAGAAGTCCGGTCTTTCACTTCCCACCCTTCGGGTTGTGGTCTCGAAACCCCGCCTCTCCCGGTGACGTCAGCACGCCGGGCGCTGTAGAATATAACAGCGTTTTGGCCTACGCTTGCACTCATCGTGTTGGTTCCCGTCCCAGTTGTTGGTCGTATGCAAGAGGCCGCAGGACCCCGCTCCCGCTTGTCGCCACTGCGCTTGAGGCAGCCGGAGATACTCTTGAGTCCCCTGGAGCCCGACGCCTGAGGGTGAGATGAACGCGCTGGCCTTCGTAACCGTCAGGACCTGTGATCGCTTCTGGCAGACCGAGCCGGCGCTCCTGCCCCCGGGGTGACGCACAGCCCCCCACCGGTGAGTAAGGGGTCGGAACGCCTGGGTCCCCACTGGTCTGGGGACCTGGATTTAGGAAGAAGAGGTTGGGAGCCTGGAGTCCTGAGCCTGAGGGAGGAGGGATCTGGAAGCCAGATTCTTGGGTCCCCGTGAAGGAATCATCTAGCAAGTGGGGGGTCGGGTCAGAATGTTTGAGTCTGCAAGGGAGGAGGGTGTGAGGGTTTCATCTTCAGCAGGATGAGAGAGCTAGGGAGGGACTATGACTTTGTCGCCAAGGGAAGCAAGCAAAAGACTTTTGTTCTTGGTTCTTGGGACTGGGACTTCTGCGTCTGAAGAAAGAGGGGGCTGGGGGCTTGGACCCTTGGATCTAAGGAAGAACTAGGGGCTCAGACTCCTGGCTATTGAGAGATGAGAAAGAACAGAGCCAAGGGACAGAGATGGGCGTGGCTGAGATCAGAAAGGAATTTGGGACTCTTGCATTGCTATTGACAATAGTTGTGTTACTATTTCTGTTGCTATGACTCATAGTCATGCCCAGATGCCATCCCCTAAATGGCCCCTAAACTTTATTTTTTCCTCCCCCTTTTCCAGCCCAGACACATGGCCCCAGGCCAAGCACCCCATCAGGCTACCCCGTGGAGGGATGCCCACCCTTTCTTCCTCCTGTCCCCAGTGATGGGCCTCCTCAGCCGGGCCTGGAGCCGCCTGAGGGGCCTGGG